TTTTTGAACATTAAAATCATCCAACTTGTTCAAAAGTTATGATGTTTTAAAGATTCGCATGAAATTTCAGGATAGCATTTCTGGCCTGAAATTATCGGAATTTTTTTCTCGAAAGTTGGTAGGATTTCGAGGGTATGTGTATCCACCAAAAATGATTGTAATTGATCCCCAAAACCAAAAATAATTTTTTAATAACTTTTTAATGAATTTTATTTTGATCTTTAAAATCTCCCATTAAAATTTTCCCCAGGAGTGGCCAAACACCCTCTATAATACTGTAAATTAAATTTAGGAGGTTCTATGGTTTTGATAGAATCTCACAAGTCGCTAGAAAATACTGTTATGCCAAAAGATAGTGAAATAAAAGATGTTTATATTACAGAGTGCTAAAATCACCGCAACACGCTAAAATCATCAAAACTGATACCTTACATAAAGTCTGATAAAAATAAAACACAAAAGTGCGAAGGATTAATAACAGTAAATGGCAAATGTGAAAGTAAAATCGTAATTAACTCTGCAAAACAATATGTTTGGGACCTACAATTAATTTATGACTTTCGCAGAGAAGTGCTAATGATACACCCGGGGCAAATTTTATGCGAAAACGTCTGGTAATTTAATGCAAAATTAGACAGACCTGAATGGCAGGCCTAGTTTTTGGTTAATAACAATTTCCATCGCAGCAACTGTTGACAAACGTGCAAAATTTATTGAGAAACGTAATTGCATAATTTCGTAATTATACATCATTAATTACAAGCTAAAATGTCACGTAAACATATGTTACTGTCACGTTCGAAGGGATTAACTATCAAAGAAGAAAGACTTTCAGCAAACGCGAAATACAGTATTCAAAAGATTGCGTATACAATGTTGATGAAAGTGGCATTTATCGAAGATTACTTCGAAAGTCGTTAGCTTCGGATGCGGTAACCATTACCAGGCGCAAGACCCCCGTAAACCATTATGATTTGCTCTAATGCCACCGGGTCGCATAAAATTCCATTACTCATGATTGGAAAATTACAGAAGCCCAGGTGTTCCGAGCATGTCTCCAATCCAGCAGTCATTTATCAGCCGCGAAAGAGTGAATGGATGGATACAGAAGTATATCAAGCGGTGTCATTAAGACTTTCTTCCTAGCGTCCAAGAATATCGGGGAAAAACCTGAAAGAAGAAATAATTTCTCGTATTAAATAATCCCCGTGTGTTTCGAAAGGTTGTGAAACGTGACAAATTATTAATTTGTCTCTAAACGCTCCTTGATTCGGCCCATACATCAAAGAATTACAGTAGTTTTTACAATCATGGATAGAAATTAATTAATTTGAAGTATAGAGTCAAATATTATTACTAGATTTTTAAAAAGCTACAGAATGATACGTAAGATAGTGTTACCTCCCGAATTCGCCACCAGAGGGCTAGCAGGCCCTTGACTCTCTCGCAAGTGCTCGACTTATCACTAGACTATTCAATATCTCCGTAGGAAGATATTCTAGGAAGCTTTAGAGCTATTTAGGGGTTGAAACGACCCCCTACAAAAGCTTCCAAAATATCAATTTGCACAAAAATCCACAATTCTAATTATCAGATAGTTCATTTTACATATCCAAACGATAACAGCTAAGATTGACCAGTAAAGTAACGAGTTCTTGCATAACCAATCGATTTCCTAAGAGTCTAGTTATTCCGAACCCCTTTTCTAGCTCCTATTACACAAATGTACCAGTTATCCGAGCCAATGTAGTTCCCGAATGCGTTCAGATAACCGGTGCTCGACTGCACAATAACCTAAACGAACAGATGGATACAAGTTGCGTCAGGTTGTATCGCTTTATCGCGCAGTCTCGTTGAAAAATGCGCGAACCGGGGGATTACTTAATATATTTCACGTGCCTGGGGAACGCAACCGATCTATTCGCGGTGCCCCGTAAAAAGATATCGCGACATCGCTGAAAGGAAACAAGAAACGAAGGTCAAAGGAGCACAACGGGAGAAGCGACGGGGAGAGGAAAGGGTAAGAGGGATCCGTCGACTTCCACAGGTACGCGATGTCTTCGGTAATTTGTTTCGTCGAGTTAAGATCATTAATCTGCTTTCGGTAGATCATCAATAGCGCGAAAGATAGCAGCGATGCAACGGTGTATCCGGTAATGGGAGCCCTCAATAACCTCCGCGACCCTAAAATCTTGGTCCACCTCCGCCGTTCTTTTTCCCACACTGCGCAGAAACCGAGTCGCCCGGGACCCCGCTTCGTTCCCTTTTCTCCCTTTTGTCACCGTGGTCCCTTTTATATCTTTCGTTTCTCTCTTTTCCACGTTCGCGCGGGTGCTATACACAGCTTTTACTTTAGGAGAAGCTCGTCGACTAATTTGTACCCGCAGATAACCACCGACCCGCCGAGAATCTTGCACCCGTCCGTGACACGTCCGCGGGAACCCCCTACGCAAGAAAATTGACCATTCCTGCCCGCCGCGAGCAAATAAACGAACCCCAAATCTCTCCCCTCGACTGAACGACCTGTTTGTTGCTTCATCCAGACGTGGACGGTCATTTTCTTTGGCGATTTTCGCAAAAAACTGATGCGATTTTAATGGTACGACTCTTGATCGATAATAGGGGTCATTATTTTGTAAACACACGATCGAGAAGTGTAAGATTGATAGCTATGATAATAAAATTGTACGAGTAATTGGTGTACAAAAGCGCAGAGGACTGCAACAAATCGAGTACGTTCGTATCGAGGGGATTTTCGGGCACTGGGTACTTTTATTTTATCTGAAAATTAATTAACACCCGTAGCCTCGTAATGCTCCGCCATTAGGCAGAAGCTGTCGCTTAAGATAGCGGTTTAAGAGCTCTTCTTCCGAGAGGTGAATAACGTTATCGCCGACGATGCGAGAGGGCAGCAGACAGGGGGCTGGAAAAAAGGGTAACCGGGAGAGGCGACCGATATGGAAAGGGGGTGGTCGGATGCGGACGAAGAAAGAGGCGAACAGATATATTCGAGCGGCTCTTTGAGAGCTATCGCACCTTTCGACCCCGGCCTCGTAAAATTGCCCAAAGGAAAGCAGACGCGCGCAAGATGCACGCGCGTATTAAAGTGCACCGCTGCAAGCCGCCTCACCCTCGGAATTTATCGGCGATCCCTGCGCAAGGACGACTCTCGAGGCACAATTTCCACTGCAACAGAGTAACAAACATATTAGAATTTGCAAAATCAAAGAAAATTCAATTTTTATATTGATTATTTTCTCAAGAACCTTGTTCAATTGTAAAAGAAACGGTGGTCAACCCCTTATAGGGACAGGGATGCCTCTCAAAGCACAATTTCCATTGTAAGAGAGTAACGAACATTTTAGAATTTGCAAAATCACAGAAAATTACATTTTTATATTGATTATTTTCTCAATAACTTTGTTCAATTATAAAAGAAACGGTATCCAACCACTTATAGGGACAGGGATGTTTCTCAAAGGCAGCACAATTCCCCTACAACAGCTAAAAACATAACAAATGTTTTGGAATTTGCAAAATATAACCTTCAAATTATAGAAAATTATTCTTTTATATTGATGCTATTAATTTGACTCTAAAGAATAGATACATGAGTTTGGTTACTTATACTATGATCATTTCTTGTCAACCACCTCATTCAATTATAAAAGTAACCATGATCAATATCTTACATTTATTAATCCTACATGAAGAATGTATGAAGCAAGAACAAGTGGATTAAATGCTATTAATTTGACTCTAAAGAATAGATACCTGAGCTTGGTTACTTATATTATGATCATTTCTTCTCAACCACCTCATTCAATTATAAAAGTAACCTTGATCAACTCCTTATATTTATCAATCCTACATGAAGAATGTATGAAGCAAGAACAAGTGAATTTAATGCTATTAAATTGATTTGGAAGAGAGAATAGACTCTTGTATTTGGTCACTTATATTATCTATCTCATTTCTCAGGAAATTAGCTCTTTATAATCTATGTGTGAAACAAACCAACCTATTGAACAGGATGAAGACAATATTTGGAGGTTATTTTTAGTAGTTCCTTATAATCTAAGTGAGAAACTAACCAAACTATTGAATAGGGTGAAGACAATAATTGGAAGATTGTTGTCAGTGGCTCTTTCTAATCTAAGTGTGAAACAAACTAAACTATTGAACAGGGTGAAGACAATATTTTGAGGATTGTTGTCAGTGGTTCTTTCTAATCTAAATGTGAAACAAACCAAACTATTGAACAAGGTGAAGACAATATTTAGGAGGTTTTTGTTAATAGCTCTTTGTAATCTAAGTGTGAAACAAACTAAACTATTGTACAGGGTGAAGACAATATTTTGAGGTTATTTTTAGTAGTTCCTCATAATCTATGTGGGTAATAAACCAACCTATTGAACAGGCTGAAGACAATATTTAAAGGATTGTTGTCAATAGCTCTTTATAATCTAAGTGTGAAACAAACCAATCTATTAAACAGAATGAAGACAATATTTAGGGGTTGTTTTCAGAAGCTCCTCATAATGAATGAAACAAAAGAATCTATTGAGCAGACTAAAAACAATATTTAGGGGTCGTGTATCCAATCTCCCAATACAAAAAGTTCTAACAACTCCAGGACGAACATTTACAGTATTTGTACCCCGGCAGCCCTCGAAAACATCGAGTGGCGATTTTGTGGAAACGTCAAAGGCGTGGCGGAGGTACTTAAAGGCTACAGTGTTCGTTTAATCGGCGATGAATCCGAAAGCGGCCGCGGTCGCGATCGGGAATTCGATAACCGTGGTCAGCGCGGTGCGGTAAAGGGGAGCAGAGGAGGGCTCGGAAGGAGATCGCGCCGTAAGTACGAGGAATGTGTCCCGGGTGAATTCCGCGGACGCAAAATCACTCAAAGCGATCGGGAACGCGTGCGCTCCCGTGGGAAAAGTCCTTGGCCCGCGCGAACGGGGAACTTTAATTGGTAAATTTCGTTTGATTTGCAGCGCGACCTGCTTAATGAGCAACTCCGTGGACGATTGGGCGAGCGGGAACGCCGTGGTCTGCAAGGGAATAATTCCAGGCCTGTCGAAGGAGCAGCGCGAGCTATGCCACAGAAATCCGGACGTGACGGTGGCGGCGATCAAGGGCCTGCAAATGGCTATATCGGAGTGCCAGCATCAGTTCACGTGGCACAGGTGGAACTGCTCGTCCCTGACGCCCAGCAGCAGAACCCAGCAGAGCAGCGTTCTTCTACAAAGAGGTAAGAAAAATGAGAAAAAAACGGAACGCACGCAGAACTCTTGCGGTGTCTCGTTTGGGACCATCGCGCTAGAGGAGGACGAGGGGTGGTAGGGGAGGGGGCAGTAGAGGAAAGGTGAAATCTTTTACGACGTCGTTGACGTCGACGAAACGGCGTAGGCGAGAGACGGTCCGCGCTTCCTTAAATCAGAATACGCCGTGTGTGCGCGTCCGGCCCCGAGAACCTGTCCCCAAATCCCTGAGAGAAAGGAAGACGACGTGGCGAGACGAGAAGAGAAAAGATTGCCCCCTCGGCTGTCCTATTCCAGTGTGACATATAAATTCGTCGCGGCGCGTACGTGCGTCGAAAGAGGAAACATATATCGTGTCGGACGAGTGCGCGAGAGCGCGACATCGAGCGCACCTGACCTGAAAGCTTAACATCGTTCCGTCCGCAGCCACGATCTCGGTGCCCGCCACGTCTGTCTCCGGGCGTTATCTGTCTCCGTGGATCGGTACACCTTTTTTTGCCCACCGGTCAACAAGAGGTGTCGATTCCACGACTCTTTTTCCCCGGCCCTCCCCCTCTCCCTCGAACGACCACGAGTGAAACGGTTACGTGCGGGGGGAGGAGGGGGCGGTGGAGGTCGATCCGCCGATTATCCGGGAGAAGTCAGAGGGCAGCAGCTTCCGAGAAACGGGGCCCGTACTTCACCATTACCCAACGGTTCCGCGCGGGGCTTTTTAAGGACGACATCGGTGGCCCAGGTGAGGGTCCGCGCGCGGTCGTTCGAGAAATCCACCGTGTCAAATTCGTGCTGGCTGCGTATCTCCAAGAGAACGCGCGTCGTTAAATCTCTCGGACACGGTCCTCCTTGCCCTCTCGTTGCTCCTTCTTTCATTCTCCCCGCGCTGGTCCCGTTCGCCCGGCTTGTTCTCGTCCCCCCCTTCCCTCCTCGACCTTCTCTTTTGCCACGTATTCGTTAAACCTCGGCAAAACGACTTAATGTATTATGAAATGTACACGAAACGGTCCCTCCCCCTCCTACGGGGGGCCTCAAAGGCCCGCACAAGGCGACCTACTACGAGACACCCGACGAACGATGACAGGGTTTACGGTTATAAAAGCGCGATAGGATTCGCTTCGCCGGATACGAACCACGGAATTCCTTCTGCAAGGTCTGGGTTAGAGACAAGAACGTGGCCCTCTGGCGGCAAGTACGAGAGGTGACAGTTTATCGACAAATGTTACTAGATTCAATTTAACAGCTACCAGTAGGTGAAGTGTTAGCAGAAAGATGTTTACAATTCTCTCTCTTATATTCTATAAGCATAAAGTAAAACTAAGACCGGGACTTCCGGGTGTAAACTGCTTATCAGATAGGAGTAGGAACGTGGCCGAGGGAGTCTAATTCGAAAACCCGTCTACGAAGGGATAAGAGAGTGGAGGCTAGGCGACCCGAAAAGGAGGCACACGCTCCCGTAGACGTTAGCGAGCACGCTATCTATTGAGTTATCTAAACAGTGATTTGGGCTTGACACAGGGTAGCAGGGTAAGGTCTGCGCGCCATCCGTCACCAGGTCCCCGCGTCAAGGGCCGAAGAGTAAAGAGGCTGTGTGGCCCCGCGCGCACCTCATCCTCATCCTCCTCTTCCTTCTGCCTCGGTTTCCCTCCACTGTCCAGGAGAAGAGACGTACAACTCCCCGTGGAGGATTTATTACGAGTCCCCCGGTGCTCCTCTTGCCATCGGTAGCAGGAGCAACGGCAGTTGCAGTAGCTGTAGCCCTCCAGCAGCTATCTGCATTATAAAACAGTTGCTGCCAATAGCCGTATAAAGCGTAAGCTTTCAGCAACCCCTCCCACCGCGAGGCCATATAAAGAGCTGCGCGTTTTCGTTCCCTCTCGTCTTGGAAGCCGGTCCACGCCGCCAACGGAGAAGGTTATCATCCTCCGAAACGCGGAGGCAGGCGGATATCGGTCCGCCTCGGGGAACCCCTCCCGGATCGGTCCGCGTCGTCGACGTTTTTATCGTGGCAGCGATCTTCCAAAAAATCTGCCCGACTCCACGGAGGCCGTGGCGAGCCTCGACTCTTTAACGTCGCCGTGTTTCGTACGATCGACGAAGGGCGACGTAATCGACTACCGGCTGTCCAATCTCGCTCGCCGCAGCCGGCTCCTCCTGTCGATCGTTGGACGAGAGCACCAACGAATCTTTGCCCCGCCGGAATACCCGACGAGGTAAAAGGAGACGTTCGTGGAATCTCCAACGGAATCGCGGAACAAGTACCGGGTACTATCGCGAGCTTCCTTTTTCCCAAGGCGAAATTAAGGAGGATCGTTGGAAATCGTTTGCTCAGCGCCGGTCCCTGTCGCGGGTCGCGTTCGAAACATGGATTCAAAACGGAAGGAACAAAAGGGGTGGTCGTCGAGAGGGGGGGACGGCGCAACGACAGCGCGCAGTGCTTCATCGGGTGTCGGGAACGAATACCACAAATCCTTTCGAATGTGCCTTTAGCGCGTCTCCCCGGTATCTCGCTCTCATGAATACTGCAAATACCGCCCGGTATCCGTGGATTGGAGTAGCTCTTTCCAACGAGGGACAAGGGGGGCAGAGTAATGTGTGGGCATTGTCGAGGAGTCGCCGGTAGAAAGGGACAGCTCGGACCGCGTATCCCGAGGGCCCGCGGCCAGTCGTGTGTCGTATCGTTTGTAAGTTGACAGCCACCATTGCGGTTTGACGATCGGCCATTCGTCAATCCGACTCCAGCGACGCTTCGGGAGACGAGAGACCTTGGAGGTAACCGAAGAAAAAGTGCGTTTGACGTCGCATTACTTATCGAAATGGCCCGGGCCCTCCAACCTACCATTCCTCCATCCACGAATTTCCAAATTCTTACTCTCTACATGTCTGATCCTCCTTTATTTGCAGTCCACGTCCTCTTCATCGCCGAGTGGTCCCTATTATAATGTGTACTAGACTTGGAAGCTTAAAAACTAGTAACACAATTGCAATAGGTGTATGCTTCATCGCCTCTTTAGATGTCTGATCTTCCTTTATTTGTATTCCACGTCCTCTTCATCACAGAGTTGTCCCTATTGTAATGTAGGATAAATTAGATTTGGGAAGCTTAGGAGCTAGTAACACAATTACAATAAGTATACAACAGTAGTTTTAGGTCTCCACTTGAAACAAACCTAACCTAAACCTAGTCTAGAAGGCCCAAACGAAGGTTCCAGGTATCCCAGACGGTGGGGATCCCCTATCCAGAGCTAACCTAGACCAGTTGAGATAAAGTTTGAGGTTACTGAGGCGAGAATCCTTGGAGCTGGACTATCGGAATAAAATTGGCGGTGATCAGAGTTTGGCATTGCGTCTTCGGGCACCCCGCCGAGCGATCGTTTATACATGCAGTCAATGGATGCCCGCCGGCCGCCGCTGCTGATGGCCACGCTTTGTTTTGACGGACGGCTGAATAATCTACCTCTGAACTACGTCTGATGGCTGTCTGTCGGCCGATCCGTCGAACGATCCGTCGGTGTGCTCGCTACCGTAGCTCCTTCTACGGAAGCCCGGCTCCGCGGTGTCCCGCTGCCTTCGCGTTCTACGTCGCCCGCGAGAGAAACGGACGAACGCGATCGCCGCTGTCGCGACGCGTTGCGTATATTACTCTCGTACCCGGCGTCACCGTGGACGAGCAGCAATTTGCTAACCGGTCCCCGGCGTCTCGATCATACCCTCCTACCAATTGTTCCACGCACGAAAAATATATGAAACGGTTCCGAAGAGGAATTGCTCGATAGGTGTGGCGACGGTTCTCGTGCTCGCCACTAGAGGGCCAAGCTTTCTCTCGCTATATACGCCTTCTCGGAAGCACAACAGAGGTGTCTACGAGTATAATATTGGGGTAAAGCAAATTTGTGTGTTAATGTTTGACCGTAAATGAGAGATCGTTGGTTACAGGATACAGGGAGACGGCGTTCGCGTTCGCGATTTCGGCGGCGGGGGTGGCGCACAGCGTGGCCCGCGCGTGCAGCATGGGCCGGCTGCTCTCCTGCGGATGCGACCCGTCGAGCTACAAGGGTAAGCCGCCGGCCAAGGCCAGGGGCACGCAATGGAAGTGGGGCGGCTGCTCTCACAACCTCGACTACGGCATGGAGTTCTCGAGACAGTTCCTAGACACGCGCGAGAGGGCCGGGGACATACAGTCGACGGTCAATCTCCACAACAATCAAGCTGGCCGCTTGGTAAGCCCGTTTGATCGATCTTCCCTTTGATATCGCCCTCCCTTCGCGGTCCCGGGCGTCTCCTGTTCGCGATAAATATTTCATTCCAGCGACGATATGCATCCTTCTCGCGTTTTAACGGGCGATCCTTGCCTCCTGGTTCCGCGACGGAAAAGAAAGACAGACGGCGGGAGAGCAGGGCAGAGGAAGAAGGTGAATACAGGGGGTGGAGAGGAGCAGGAGAGCAGCCGGAGTCCGTTCCTCTCCTCCGTGCGCCTCTTCACGCTCGGTCTCGCCTCGACGTTATTAAGACGAGGCCCGGGGCTGGACCACCCAGCCGTAGACTCATTAACCGTTCGGTACGCGACACCTCTTTGTCTAAAAGAAATTGCCCCCCTTTCTCTTCCGCCGCTGTTCGCGCTCTTGACCACTCCGCGCGAGCTTCCTCCGTCGAATGGCGTTCCCGTGGCCATTCTCGCGTCGCGTTCGGTTCGCGGACGTGTTCCTCCGATCCCTCGCCTAGACGGGGAACCTGTAAACATCATGGAATTTCAGGCGGTGGCGAGCAACATGCAAGTGCGCTGCAAGTGCCACGGTATGTCGGGTTCCTGCGAGCTCAAGACCTGCTGGAAAGTGGCGCCGGACTTCCGGCTGGTGGGCAAGACGCTCAAGGACCGGTTCCGGAACGCGGTGCTGGTGGCGCAGAGCAACCTGGGCAGCGTGACCCCGTTGACCAGAGTACGGGGATCGAGGAGGAGGAGGCCAGATCGACACAGACAGAGGAAGCACCGCGGCGGCGGCGGCGGCGGCGGCGGCGGCGGCGGCGGCGGCGGGAATGGCGGCCGCAAGAGGAGGCCCAGGGATCTCGCGAAGCAGCTCTTCTACTACCAAAAGTCGCCCAATTTCTGCGAGAGGGACCCCGCGGCGGACATACCGGGCACCGCCGGCCGCAGATGCAACAAGACCAGCTCCGGCGGCGACGGATGCGGCAGCCTCTGCTGCGGACGGGGCTACAATGTCGTCAGGCAACGTCGTGTCGAGAGGTGTAGATGCAAGTTTCATTGGTGTTGCGTGGTGCAGTGCCAGAACTGCACCGTGGAAGAGTGGATCACTGTTTGCAAGTGAACGGGGACACGCTCCACGGGAATCGTTTCTCCTCGGTTTTCTTTCGCGGATCGCGAACGATCGAAGATAATCGAACCTTTCGTCGGGCACGACAAACGGGGCGGATGGGGTACGACGCGCCGGGATAATGGTCGCGTGTAATAACGCCCGATACACGGATTAAAGCGGATCACGGTACCGGGGGAACGGTGCTCCCCGTGTACAATCTGATTACCCAGTTCGGTCGTTACCCCGTCGTTGAGAATCACGACATTTTAATCGCCTAAGAGGATGATACTCGACTGAGAAAAATTCATCGGTATCCGCGTACCAGTAATCGTAAAACGTTTGTTCCGCCCGCGGCGCGACCACGGCCCGGAGAGCCCTGCACCGCGGATTTCGGTGACCCGTACTTTTATCAATCGCGCGAGTAATATAATTTAACCGGTAGCGCCTAAGCGAGCCTATAATTTATTTATAACGTTGCTCTATTTAATTAGTAGATAATTTTAATATCCGACACCAACTGTAACACCTCCGCCACAGTATTATTAGACGAAGCAATTGCGCGTGTGTCTTAAGAAATTCCGAATGGATGCGATTGTATACAACTCGATAATGCCGCGTACAATAAAGAGTTCCTTCGATCGACGACTGGTTTCTTTACCCGTTCATTTCGCTTGGGGAATTTCGGTGGCCGTCGGAAGTCGCTGAAATTCGTAATGCTTTCGGCGTAGATTTACAGACGACCGAAGCCTTTCCGATACTTTTATTCCTGGCACCGGTAGATTTGTTCGGCCTTCTTTTCCATCGATCGTAACGATAAATTGTCACTCTCCCCCTACCGCCTCTACGTTAAAACCTTGGAAAAAATCTGTGCCAATCCCTCTTACATACCGGGGCGGTACGAGACCGTTCGGACGCGACGAAACTTTGAGACGCGCGCTTTCGCGATAATCTGCCCGCTCGCGGGGCTCTTATTTTCCACGCGTTACGATTCCAACAATGGCTTCCGGCCTGCTCGATAACATCCGATAACAAACGGAATAATTATCTTCAGCGTCGAAACGCGTTTCATGTTACACGCTTCGCTGGCCCGGATCGACTAGCTGGAAAGCCCCTGGAAATCGCAGACGGTAAATTGGGTATTCGAGTCTAGATTAGCTCCGAAATCGGACGAAGACTTTTATAATCGTGTTTCGCGCGGGTCGGTGCGTTTCCCGCGACGTCGACCCCCTCCAGGATAATCCAAAGCGCTGCCACCGGCGATTTTAAACAACCTCTTCGTCCATCGATCAATCCGGGAACAGAAATGCATGTATTTTAATTTATCTTTAAACAGGAAGGCGTATTTCAGCGTCTGGGAACATGTTTTGATCCTCCAGGATGAAGAAGGGGAAGTACAGTACTCGTTGAACTAACGGAAGCTCTTGAATGGAAGAAAATTTGAAATGATTTGATATAAAATAGTGAATATTGAAATATTTGCATAAGTAAATACTATTTGATTAAATTTTTAAATCATTAGAAAATAATGAACTGAAAACACATACAGATAACATACAGATTCTGATGTTTCCAGTTATTTACACAGTCTTATGGTGTTTAAATAAAATGAAAACCTTTTATTTTCAATACTATTAGTTGGAATACCATTATTTTAAATACTATTCTGTGAAATATTACTATTTGATGAAGTATTATTTACCTATATTTTAATAAAACACTTATTTCACAATACTATTTACAGTCTATTTACCATATTTTCACAGCCCTGGTGCAGGGTTAACCTTCATCATTCATCAAACTGATCAGAAATACCAAAGTACATAGATAATAGCTAGATTCTGGATCTTTATGCAAATGTTTTTATCAAATAGAAGCTTTATAGAAGTTATATAACGTTTTTATAAAATAGAAGCTTTATAGGAGTTATATAAAGTTTTTATAAATTAGAAGCTTTATAGAAGTTATATGTATAAAGTTTTTATAAAATAGAAGCTTTATAGAAGATTATCTCAATCACTAAACATAATAATTGATATCTTATTTGAAGTATTTCTTATATTTTTGCATATTAAGTGAATTCTGTAGTTGTTTTGAGAACTAAAATTCCTCATAAATGCATAAACATCTGGAGTCTATATTAATAACTCTTTGATAATGATTTTAGAACCCTGGAAACTTGCAATTTTACTCTAGAAAGACAAAGTGGAACTCTGGTAGGTAAATCCCCCCCACTGAAACAAGCTTGAAGTTTAAAAAGGAACTTCAAAAAATGAAGAGGTTGTTGATACTTCTTGAGATCAAAGGGGAAGCTCAGGGGATGATGTTTCCTCAAAAAGAAGCCCTTGTTTGGCAACCAAGAAGAAAATATTATGTAATATCAAGGTGCAATACCTGAATCAATTAATTGTTTTAATAAACAAATTTTTTAAGTTATAGAAAAAGACAGTAACTCTTGTTGATTTACAGAACCTACCTCTATGTACTAGTCCTCTGTTTTTCAAATAATTAACCACCTCAGTGTACTATCAACATACCTCAATTGCTTGTTTTAATAAACATACTTCTTAGGTTATGGAAAAGGACAGTTTCTCTTGTTGACTCTTGGAACCTATACTTATTAGACCTTTGCTTTACAAATAATTAACCATCTCAATGTAATATCAACGTGCAATACTTGAATCAATTACTTATTTTAATAAACATACTTTTCAAGTTGTGGAAAAAGACAGTAACTCTTGTTGACTTATGGAACCTACCCCTATACACTAGTCTTTCATTTTACAAATAATTAACCACCTCAGTGTACTATCAACATACCTCAATTGCTTGTTTTAATAAACATACTTTTTAGATTATGGAAAAAGACAGTTTCTCTTGTTGATTCTTGGAACCTGCCCCTTATTGGACCTTTGTTTTACAAATAATTAACCACCTCAATGTAATATCAATGTGCAATACCTGAATCAATTACTTATTTTGATAAACATACTTTTCAAGTTGTGGAGAAAGACAGTAACTCTTGTTGATTCATGGAACCTACCCCTATACACTAGTCTTTCATTTTACAAATAATTAACCACCTCAGTGTACTATCAACATACCTCAATTGCTTGTTTTAATAAACATACTTTTTAGATTATGGAAAAAGACAGTTTCTCTTGTTGATTCTTGGAACCTGCCCCGTATTGGACCTTTGTTTTACAAATAATTAACCATCTCAATGTAATATCAATGTGCAATACCTGAATCAATTACTTATTTTGATAAACATACTTTTCAAGTTGTGGAGAAAGACAGTAACTGTTGTTGATTCATGGAACCTACCCCTATACACTAGTCTTTCATTTTACAAATAATTAACCACCTCAGTGTACTATCAACATACCTCAATTGCTTGTTTTAATAAACATACTTTTTAGATTATGGAAAAAGACAGTTTCTCTTGTTGATTCTTGGAACCTGCCCCGTATTGGACCTTTGTTTTACAAATAATTAACCACCTCAATGTAATATCAATGTGCAATACCTGAATCAATTACTTATTTTGATAAACATACTTTTCAAGTTGTGGAGAAAGACAGTAACTCTTGTTGATTTATGGAACCTACCCCTATACACTAGTCTTTCATTTTACAAATAATTAACCACCTCAGTGAACTATCAACATACCTCAATTGCTTGTTTTAATAAACATACTTTTTAGATTATGGAAAAAGACAGTTTCTCTTGTTGATTCTTGGAACCTGCCCCGTATTGGACCTTTGTTTTACAAATAATTAACCATCTCAATGTAATATCAATGTGCAATACCTGAATCAATTACTTATTTTGATAAACATACTTTTCAAGTTGTGGAGAAAGACAGTAACTCTTGTTGATTCATGGAACCTACCCCTATACACTAGTCTTTCATTTTACAAATAATTAACCACCTCAGTGTACTATCAACATACCTCAAATGCTTGTTTTAATAAACATACTTTTTAGATTATGGAAAAAGACAGTTTCTCTTGTTGATTCTTGGAACCTGCCCCGTATTGGACCTTTGTTTTACAAATAGTTAACCATCTCAATGTAATATCAATGTGCAATACCTGAATCAATTACTTATTTTGATAAACATACTTTTCAAGTTGTGGAAAAAGACAGTAACTCTTGTTGATTCATGGAACCTACCCCTATACACTAGTCTTTCATTTTACAAATAATTAACCACCTCCGTGTACTATCAACATACCTCAAATGCTTGTTTTAATAAACATACTTTTTAGATTATGGAAAAAGACAGTTTCTCTTGTTGATTCTTGGAACCTGCCCCGTATTGGACCTTTGTTTTACAAATAATTAACCATCTCAATGTAATATCAATGTGCAATACCTGAATCAATTACTTATTTTGATAAACATACTTTTCAAGTTGTGGAGAAAGACAGTAACTCTTGTTGATTCATGGAACCTACCCCTATACACTAGTCTTTCATTTTACAAATAATTAACCACCTCCGTGTACTATCAACATACCTCAAATGCTTGTTTTAATAAACATACTTTTTAGATTATGGAAAAAGACAGTTTCTCTTGTTGATTCTTGGAACCTGCCCCGTATTGGACCTTTGTTTTACAAATAATTAACCATCTCAATGTAATATCAATGTGCAATACCTGAATCAATTACTTATTTTGATAAACATACTTTTCAAGTTGTGGAGAAAGACAGTAACTCTTGTTGATTCATGGAACCTACCCCTATACACTAGTCTTTCATTTTACAAATAATTAACCACCTCAGTGTACTATCAACATACCTCAATTGCTTGTTTTAATAAACATACTTTTTAGATTATGGAAAAAGACAGTTTCTCTTGTTGATTCTTGGAACCTGCCCCGTATTGGACCTTTGTTTTACAAATGATTAACCATCTCAATGTAATATCAACGTGCAATACTTGAATCAATTACTTATTTTAATAAACATACTTTTCAAGTTGTGGAAAAAAACAGTAACTCTTGTTGATTCATGGAACCTACCCCTATACACTAGTCTTTCATTTTACAAATAATTAACCACCTCAGTGTACTATCAACATACCTCAATTGCTTGTTTTAATAAACATACTTTTTAGATTATGGAAAAAGACAGTTTCTCTTGTTGATTCTTGGAACCTGCCCCGTATTGGACCTTTGTTTTACAAATAATTAACCACCTCAATGTAATATCAATGTGCAATACCTGAATCAATTACTTATTTTAATAAACATACTTTTCAAGTTATGGAAAAAGACAGTAACTCTTGTTGACTTATGGAACCTACCCCTATACACAAGTCTTTCATTTTGCAAATCATTAACCACCAAATCTCTGTATTCTAAGTATTCTAAATATAGAAAGAAATCGTCTCATAAGAGAAATTTCAAGATGAGAAGCACCGAGGCCGATCCGAGCGGTGTCGAAGGCGAAACTCCGAGGAAACCGCGTTGAAAAAAGAGGATGTCGGCGCGGGGTCGCGGTACGACGCGTATTCGCATTAACCGCGGCTCCCTTTGACAACTACGCCAGCCAGGACGACCCTGAAGAAGCCGCGATAAAGCGCATTAATTTATCGCGCGACCCTCGAGAGATCTTTTTCAAGGCGCATCGATCCGTCCAACGAGATTAGAAGCGGGAGCACGACGCGACGCTTTTTACAGCTACTCTCCAACCTGAACATTAATTATTTCCGTTAGATCGTGATTCGCAACACGTCCAAGTATGTTCAACTATAGCTCCTCCAAATTGCAACGAGCCATTGGCGAACCTTGGACCGGTCTAGAAGTCTATTATTTGGTGACAAGTATCCAGAAAAGCGAGAAACTGCGATGAAGGGGAGAAGATAGATCCGCGAAGACAAAGAGAGGGTGTGTTGGGGCTGGACGACGATCTCGGGGACGAAATCAATGAGCTAACAGGCTTGCGAGTTAGCAGTTAGTTCATTAAGTCGGCGTTATTGGATCATGGAAGCCAAGCACCCCACCCCAGTGGCACCCCCTCGACGCAATCGTGACTACACCGCCCTACACGAGCGTCGTAGAGCTCGGCTCTTACTCCGGCACACGAGCATTGCGAACACTGCGAGGGTGGACGCCGCAGGGCCTGCACAACCTGCCAGACGTTTTAATTAGAGGTGAGTTTCATCGCGAGCCAACCTAAGAGCACCCAAGAACCCGTTACTTGTCCCTTACGGGTAAGTGTTTTGCACCTTCCGCAAAACCCCTTCGTTTCGTCCGTCGCCTAGATCTTATACGAGCCCTCTGCCGCGTCTACATCCGCCTACGAACCGCCCGGTGCTCGCGATTAATTCACCGCGGATACGTGTGGAAAATCTTATTTAGAGGAATTCCTGCGCCTTACGATCATCACGATACGGCGTGTTTTAACGGGAGAGAGTGCGACGAAGAGGAGCCGGAGAAGAACGGCGGGAGAGAAGAGGTGGTGTATGTACGGTGCTTTACGTTCCACGGTGCGCGTCTCGGAGGTGCCGGAACATGTGTTTCAGGATGTTTTGCCCGGGTAAAAAGAGAGAAACCCGTAAATACAGAGGGAACGGAGCGTCCATCGGAGGTAAATCCAGGCAGGTGTCGTCTCGAGCCAACTTCGGGCCGCGGCAAGAACGACGAAGACGGACGCGCGACGTATCGGTATTTCCAACGTGAACGAGGATCCCCAGGACAGAGAAAAACAGAAGATTACATTGTGGTACGGAAAGAGAGACGCTCGACGGGGCGAGGGTGAGAGGGGGAAGGAGGAGGGGAGGAATATAGCGAAAAGTTAAATGTTGCATGAGCTTCGGGGAAGAAGAACACAGCGGCGAGATTCCCGGTATCGATTAACCCCCTGACGGAAATAACGTACGACCGGCCGACGTACGAGCCGATTTTTCGATCGCGAGAACAACCCGACACCTCCGCCACGGTATCCCAGAGTGCGTTATCTGCCGAATGGATCGATCCTCGAATCTGTAAAAGGTTCGAGAAAGAGATATAGGGGGGCGCAAGAAACGGGAACTTGGTACCACTTTTTAACGGAAGATGGCGGCCAATTCGATTAGCGGTTTTTCACGGAAACGAACCGACCGAAGGCCACTTGTCACCGAGTTTACCGGTACTTTCCGGGGCGAACCGAGTGTCGAACCCTTTTCAAACGGGCCGAACCGGTCGGCCTGCCGATCGTTTTCGGGGCCTACGCGACTCTTTTTATTTTCCTCCGTCCGGCCGCCACTACCGTTGCGCGGCCGTCTTCCCAGGGATTCGCGGTGCTAACATTCCGGGTGTAGCGGGGGACCCCCGACACGGCCGACGAATATCAACTTTCCCACAGCTTCCCCGAGCCCGCCCCTCTTTCGTTTCGCTTCGCTTAGTCTTATCGGGAGCGAAGGGAGGGCGCGGCAGGACTAGGCCCTCAGGAACGAGGAGGACCGATTTTTCGAGCCGCGAAACTTTCCCACAACGGGCGTTACGTCCCCCCCCCCCCCTACCTTCCTCCCCCACGCATCTTCCCTTTTAAAGAGCGTGGTTCGCTGCACAAAGACTGGAAGGAGAAAGAACCGATGGACCGAGTGGCACGGAAAGCTTTTTCTGAAATCACGGGGACCCGTCTCTCTTTCTTCCCGCGACGCGCGGTCGGGCATCAATAATTTAACGCCCTGTCGTACCGATAAACCTGCACGACCGCGACGAGGAAAAGGAACGGAGAACGCGAAGGGGGTAGGGGGTCGCGAGACGACTGAGAAAACTGAGGTAGAACCGTAGCCACCGTGCGTACGTCCGCGGATCAACCCGGGTTTCTTGCGTACGTTCGTTCACATATAGTCACCGACGCGTCGCCCTCCTCCTCTCTCTTTTCGCCCTTTCTCCCTTTCCCTTTCCATCTTCGATTACAAGCGGCAAGAAGCGGCAGGAAGCAGCATTACACGGGACACGTCGCGCCGACAAATCGACGGATTATGCCGGACGAGCGCCGACCCACCGGGAATAAATGAATTGGCTAACGACGCGGATCCTCTCATTTCTCGCCCCTCTTACCTTTTTCGCAGAGCTGCGCGGATTTTGCGGGAAACCTCGCGGCGGAAAGCGGGCCCAGAAGGCAACGGGCAATCGTTGCCACGCTGATCGATAAGATCGCGCGAAGGATTACGCGCTACGGGGGCTAATGATCCAATAACGGTGGATATCGCCGAGCGCCGTCGCGTCGATGAAGCTTATCAACTGCCCCCCGCACGCGATAAACGGCCAGAAAAGAAAAGCAGGGGGTCCACCGTCGTCTACGAAGACGGAACCGCGGAGGTGCAAAGCGGCTGAGCGTGCCACCCGTCACCCACGAACTCGCGTAACCCATTAAATACCCTTACGCAATCCGTGGGATCCGATAAATGGGATATGTAGTACCCTGCAGCGTTTCCGCAGCCCTACAAGTTCCAAGGCACGAACAACGGAAGAAAAGCTGCCAGACAAGCGCTAAAAGATTCCCTCCGTTTTCGGGAACGGGAAAGCTGCTACAAATCGATCGGTCCGGACGTGTATTGGCCCCATTTCACCTGTAAAATATAGTTTTATTCGTTATTAATCGTGCATATTATATAGCAAACTGGAACTAACGTAGATGTTAATATATTTGTTTGAGTTAGATGTTCTATTAGTTAGATACCAATTGTTGTTAATTAATACAAAAAGAGAGGTTTCGATGTGTATGAGCTTCATTTCAACTGCGAAATAGTTTTTTTTTTTGTAAAATTATGTATATTATGCTGTGATTACAAAATGGAGGTGATATCGATGTTAAATAGTAATGTGTTCATTTCAACATAGAAGTTCTGTTATTTAGATAGTAATTATTAATTTTGGGGGGGATTTACAACGCTTTAGATGGGTGAAATTATCAATTTTAGAAGCTTAGACACATAACTGTTGCTAGGTTCGAATAAGGAAATTTGTTTATTATTTAAATACCAATTAGTAATTTTTGAGGTTATTTTTAATGTTCTATATAAGTAAAATTAGCAATTTTAGAAAGCTAGATACCAACTAGTCATTCTTGAGGGATTAATAATGTTCTATATAAGTAGAATTAGCAATGTTAGAAGCCTAGACACATAAGTGTTGCTAAGTTCAAATATGAAAATCCTTGTATTATTTAGGTACCAATTGCCATTAATTTTTGAGGTTATTTACAAGGTCCTATATGAGTGGCATTAGCAATTTTAGAAACCTAGATACCAATTGTTAATTTTTGTGGAATTTATAACATTCTAAATAGGTGAAATTATCAGTTTTAGAGACCTACATACCAATTGTTAATTTTTGAGGGATTTATAATGTTCTATATAAGTAAAATTAGCATTTTTAGAAAGCTAGATACCAATTAGTCATTCTTGAGGGATTTATAATGTTCTATATAAGTAGAATTAGCAATGTTAGAAGCCTAGACACATAAGTGTTGCTAAGTTCAAATATGAAAATCCTTGTATTATTTAGGTGCCAATTGTCATTAATTTTTGAGGTTATTTACAAGGTCCTATATGAGTGGCATTAGCAATTTTAGAAACCTAGATACCAATTGTTAATTTTTGTGGCATTTATAACATTCTAAATAAGTGAAATTATCAGTTTTAGAGACCTACATACCAATTGTTAATTCTTGAGGGATTTATAATGTTCTATATAAGTAAAATTAGCAATTTTAGAAAGCTAGATACCAACTAGTCATTCTTGAGGGATTAATAATGTTCTATATAAGTAGAATTAGCAATGTTAGAAGCCTAGACACATAAGTGTTGCTAAGTTCAAATATGAAAATCCTTGTATTATTTAGGTGCCAATTGTCATTAATTTTTGAGGTTATTTACAAGGTCCTATATGAGTGGCATTAGCAATTTTAGAAACCTAGATACCAATTGTTAATTTTTGTGGAATTTATAACATTCTAAATAGGTGAAATTATCAGTTTTAGAGACCTACATACCAATTGTTAAGTTTTGAGGGATTTATAATGTTCTATATAAGTAAAATTAGCAATTTTAGAAAGCTAGATACCAACTAGTCATTCTTGAGGGATTTATAATGTTCTATATAAGTAGAATTAGCAATGTTAGAAGCCTAGACACATAAGTGTTGCTAAGTTCAAATATGAAAATCCTTGTATTATTTAGGTACCAATTGCCATTAATTTTTGAGGTTATTTATAAGGTCCCATATGAGTGACATTAGCAATTTTAGAAACCTAGATACCAATTGTTAATTTTTGTGGAATTTATAACATTCTAAATAGGTGAAATTATCAGTTTTAGAGACCTACATACCAATTGTTAATTTTTGAGGGATTTATAATGTTCTATATAAGTAAAATTAGCATTTTTAGAAAGCTAGATACCAATTAGTCATTCTTGAGGGATTTATAATGTTCTATATAAGTAGAATTAGCAATGTTAGAAGCCTAGACACATAAGTGTTGCTAAGTTCAAATATGAAAATCCTTGTATTATTTAGGTACCAATTGCCATTAATTTTTGAGGTTATTTACAAGGTCCTATATGAGTGGCATTAGCAATTTTAGAAACCTAGATACCAATTGTTAATTTTTGTGGAATTTATAACATTCTAAATAGGTGAAATTATCAGTTTTAGAGACCTACATACCAATTGTTAATTTTTGAGGGATTTATAATGTTCTATATAAGTAAAATTAGCATTTTTAGAAAGCTAGATACCAATTAGTCATTCTTGAGGGATTTATAATGTTCTATATAAGTAGTATTAGCAATGTTAGAAACCTAGATACCAATTAGTCACTTTTGTGGGATTTATAACGTTTTATATAAGTGAAATTATCAATTTTAGAAATCTAGATACCAAGTGTTAATTTTTATAGGATTTATAACATTCTAAATAAGTGAAATTATCAGTTTTAGAAGCTTAGGCACATAAGTGTTGCTAGATTCAAATAAGGAAATTTTTCTATTATTTAGGTATCAATTGCCATTGATTTTTTAGGTTATTTGTAACTTCCTATATAACTGATATTAGCAATTTTAGAAACCTAGCTATCAACTGTTGATTTTTGAGGGATTTATAACATTCTAAATAGATGAAATTAGCAATTTTAGAAACCTAAACACATAAGTGTCTCTCTATAAGAAAATATAAAATAAGAAAATGGGGATGTCACAATTACTTCCACTTGTATTCATGGACTACAATAACGATTCCCTAGAAATGAAAAAAGCTTGTTTCTTATGAATTGAGCTTGATTCTTATGAATAAATTAATAACAATACTTGTCGACCACCGAAGTCCCTCATTGCTCCCACTATCATTGTTCTATACTATCTACATCATACCTGTCCATCAATTTCGTAATTGAGGATCACTTGGCCCCAGTCGACATTAAAAAAAAATAATAAATAAACATAAAAGATTCATAAGAAACAAGACACGTTCCATTTGCAAATCACCATTGCAACGTACAAATGCAAGTGGGATCGCGTATGGCGACGTGTCAAAGGCCCAAGAACTGGGCCCGATGTGCCACCCAGGTGTTCAGACGAAGAAGCCGTAAAAAACCGTAATTGTAGACGGCTAGAACGTTGATCGAGACCCGAACTATTTAGATCGTCGACAAACGATTGTTCCCTCGGCCTCGAATCCCGAGATGGCTGCCTCGCGCAGCTTAGAAATTGAAGTCCACGGAAATCCCGCAAGTTCCGTCGCGGGCTTGCTGACCCCGTGCCGGGCGTCGATGCAACCGTACATACGCGTTCCACCGTACAGAGGATGTTTCTAGGCGCGGAAAATGTCGGGGAAAAACAGCTCCACATCCGGATTACGGTTTACGGTTTACGGTTTACCCAACGAGGAGGTGGGGGTGGTGGAGTAGGAGTCGATCTCGAGTCGACCACGCGATATCCTTCCGCGGCTTTAGGCTTCCCTCGTCGAAGCTTTCTGAAAGCTAGCTACTAATTAGCGATTATCACTCGTTCACGCGGCACTCGAGAAAGAATATAATTAGCGCTCACCTTTGTGCCGATGCGCCGTGAAGCCCTCGACCGGCCGAACCTGGCCTCTCGTAAAAAAATCCGGTAGAGCGTCCTCTTCGAAGAGTCATTCCCGACCTTCTCGTCGTCGGTCGAACAGATGGAAAGAGGCGCGGACCCTGCGGTTCCCCCGTGAGCGTGAAGAGGTTGCGCGACGACCTCTTCGTGCCTTCGTGTCCCGCTCCATCGACGAGCACCACGGCTCGGAAACGAGAACGAAATTAATGAACTTTTTGTCGTGCGTCTTCCACCCGGAATTCCAGGTTTTTTCGCTCTACGCGCGGCGACGACTCGATCGGGACCGTTTATTCCCCGATTCCCGAATCCGTCTCATGGGAACTCGTCGCTCGCTTGGAAAATCGCTCTACACGGACCCTCGATATCAGCTCGATTATTTTAACTTGAAGCAAATTATTCCACTCGGGGGTTAATTGTGTTCCACCTCTGTTTGGAACGACTCTGTTCAGCGTTCAGGTGATCCTGAGGATGAACGACTACGGGTACGGCAAGAGAGGCGGTAGGGAGCACGACAGACGTAGCAGGAGCAGGGGCGACGAGGACGAGTACGATGATCGTGATCGAAGAACCACCCTCCAGAGGCTCGACAGTGTCCAGGATCCTGGAAAACGGTATCTTCTCAGAGAGTGCATAGGCTCTGGCGTATGCGGAGACGTCTACGAGGCCATCGACCAGCAAGCCGGTGAGTTTGAAAAAAGCAATTAGAGCTAAAAAGTTTGGAGCCCGCTGTCCCTCGCTGTTTCCTCTTGCAGGGAACAAGAAGGTCGCGGTGAAGGTGCAGAAACTGACTCCGGAATCGCAGTCGTTGATCATCGAGGAGTACAAAGTCCTACGTGACCTGGCCACCCATCCGAATTTGCCGGAGTTTTACGGGATTTACCGCAGGAGGTCCGGAAAGAAGACGGAGTACGATCAAATATGGTTCGTCATGGAGGTAGGGACCCTAAAACTCGTCGATGTACTCATTGTTAGAGCTTATTAGAGCCACTTTGATTCTCGTTTGGATCGCAAAGTTTATTGTCGCGATGGTCGTCCTCGTTATTTATGTCGAATGCCGCGTCGGGACGCCTATCGACGTCGACGGTGTATCCGTGGCTCCTTTAACATCGTAATTCTCCCGAGGAAAAAAGAAAAGCCCGGAGACCGAGAACAGACACGGAACATGAAGGGTGAAGCTGGAGGAGGAACGGGGATGGGGGAGGACGAGGAGAAAGAAGGGGGGGAAAAAAGAGAAAAAGGAAGGCAGCGTCGAGGGAAGAGTTGCTGTACGTAACCATGCCAGGACCTGGAGGCAATTTCAAGCATTTGAGACGGTCGAATACACGGATAATTTACGACACGCGCGGCCATTAAACAATCATTAAACTCGTTCGTGTACGCAGGTGAGCCCCGGCACGTCGCGACCCTAATTTACGGGTGGACCTCCGCGGTGCGCACGAAATCTTATTACTTATCTTAACCAAAGCGTCGATATTCGATTTAACGCTGTACGCGTGCACGTACGACCTTCGACGGTCGTGCAATTCAACCCCCCGAGTCGCCATTTCTAACCTCGATAGGCTGGGACTCCCCAAACTTCCCCCGAAACCATAGAGATTAGAAGCGTTTAAAAATCACACGTGTCTTCTGAGAAGAATGAACGCACTGTACGAGAGAAAGTATCCACGTTGGAGGTTACAGAGCCAGTAACTAATTACTGGACGTGTCTGATTAGCGGACGGTTTGATTACAGAGACTGCGCGTAGCTCAACACTCGCGGAGGGTGTTGAACAAACAATCTGCAAATGGCTTCGGAAATAAGAGTCTGGCGATCGAAGAGGTCGGGTCCTTTACGACCTATCCGTTTAAAAATCATTAAGTCTGTCTACTGAGGTAAAATATGGAGGCACCGTCGTCCATAAACCACGATACCACGGACATCAATTGTTACTTCGCAATTTACTGCTCGAGAGATTGATGTGCCCTCGCCAAAAATTCAGAAACTAAAATGGCTACGACTTGGGGGGGGGGACCGAAAGGGGATTACCCGAGCAACGTGGACGCCATGACACCTGCTTTAAATGTGGGATTGTGACAAAGAATCTCGAAACGAAACGTTTGAAGGAAAGTTACGCCGGATCGTTCGTTTCCCGAAGATTATATAGACGCTCGCGGCGCAACTATACGAGCAAAGATGGCGGATGAGCAAAAAACAGATGTGAAATAGGTGGCCGGGTACAAGCATCGAAGGAAATAACAACGGTTTTGCGAGTCAATCAGCCGCGGTAAAAAGCTCGGTAAACGTTCGCGGATGCTCGACGAGGAGAAAGGGACGGGGGCTGGGAGCGAGCTGGAAAAGAGGAACGACACGCAACGACAATGTGGCTAAGATTTATGACCGATGGTATTTCATATCGTATCGCGGACGAATTTTACGGGCACGTACACAGCCAAGCGGTTAGGGGAACTTTTCGTGCCGCGACGAGAACGCATCCGACTGCCGTGCATCGCGTGCTCGGCCAATCCGCTTAAAGCTCGGGTGTGCTTCCATCCACATCCATCGATCACGAAACCTAAAATGCACTCACAATCAAATTGATTGAAATCGTACGATTATTTGTTTGCTTTACTAAAATGGAGGGGAGTGTAGTTCGTTGAAATTTATTTGCGAAGTGGAGCTCGTGGGTAGTTACACAAAAGTGTTAAACGACGGTTTCGTAGAGCTTCGAATTGAGTTATTAAAAATTAAAAATTGATTTTTGAGATAGATCGAAAGGGGATCGGTGCGGTGAAATTTGAAAAATTTTTAATCATTCTGAAAAAATTATTTTTGGATGTGGGGGTTTATTAGAATTGTTATTTGTGGGAAGGAGTACCCCTGAATTTTTAAGTGTTTTCGAGAAAAAAATTCATTACTGAAAATGTGTCAATATTGGTTCCTTGAAATTTCATGCAAATGTTTAAAAAATTGTAACTTCTGAACGGATTGGAGGATTTTAATGTTTCAAAAGGCAAACAACGCGTATTTTGGCGGAGAATATGTAGAAATTCCAAAAAAGTTGAAAAAGTTCGTCTTTAACCCCTTAAAGTGAGAAAAACCCCATAAAAGTTGGGAAATTTTCAAACAACCATAACTCCTATAATACTGAATATATTTCAATGAAATTTATTTCTGCAATAGAGCTCATGGGTACCTACAAAAAAGTATTAAACAATATTTCTGTAGAGCGTCAAACAAACTTATTAAAAATCAAAAACTGATTTTAAAGAAAAATCGACAGGAGACAGGTGCCTAAAGTTGATGAAAAAAAAAATTTCATATCGTTCTAAAAAAATTATTTTTGGTTATGGGAGACAATTACAATCATTATTGGTGAATAGACATACCCCCGAAATTCTACGCATTTTCGAGAAAAAAATTCGAAAAGTGTGCAAATTTTTCGACAAAATTAAGAAATTTCAAATGATTCTAAAAAAATTATTTTTGGTTCCAGGGATGGATTACAATCATTATTGGTGAATAGATATACCCTCGAAATCTTACCCATTTTTGAGAAAAAAATTCAAGTAGGGTGCAAATTTTTCGACGAAATTAAAAAATTTCGAATCGTTCTGAAAAAATTATTTTTGGATATGGGGGACAATTACAATCATTATTGGTGAATAGACATACCTCTAAAATCCTATGCATTTTCGAGAAAAAAATTCTTTACCGAAAATATAATCTGAGGCCAGAAATGTTTCCTAAATATTTCATGCAAATATTTAAAAAATCATAACTCCTGAACGGATTGGAGGATTTTAACGTTTAAAAAGGCAAACGACGCGTATTTTGATGAAGAATATTTAGAAATTTTAAGAATGTTGGAAAAGTTGTTCCTTAACCCCGTAAAATGAAAGGAACCCTATAAAAATGGCCTAATTTTCAAACGACCATAACTCCTATAATAGTCAATATATTTCAATGAAATTTATTTCTGTAATAGAGCTCATGAATACGTACAAAAAAGTATTAGACAATATTTCTGTAGAGCGTCAAACAAACTTATTAAAAATCAAAAACTGATTTTAAAGAAAAATCGACAGGAGACAGGTGCCTTTTCTCGACGAAAAAACAAAATTCCAAATCATTCTGGAAAAATTATTTTCAGTTGCAGGGGTCAATTACAATCATTTTTGGTCAATAGACACACCTTCGAAATCCTACTCACTTTCGAGAAAAAAATTCGAGAAGGTATGAAATTTTTCGACAAAATTAAAAAATTTCAAAAAATTCTAAAAAAATTATTCCTGGTTCCACGGGTCGATTATAATAATTATTGGTGAATAGATATACCCCCGAAATCCTACCCATTTTCGAGAAAAAAATTCGAGTAGAGGGCAAATTTTTCGAGAAAATTAAAAAATTTCGAATCGTTATGAAAAAATTATTTTTGGTTGTGGGGGATAATTGCAATTATTATTGGTGAATAGATATATCCCCGAATTTCTACGCGTTTTCGAGAAAAAAATTCTTTACCGAAAATATATGGCCAGAAATGTCTCTCCAAGTTAATTTTCTATCTCACTTCCTCTTGTGTTCATTTCTGTAACCTGTTACGTTAATTATCTCTTACATTTGTGTTTTGAGAGATAAATTTGCCCATTATGTAGTCATATTATCTACAATTCTATTCAATTCGCCCTGAAAGACATCACATAGCAATTTTCGGCGGTCATCTTGAATTACAATATTCTCCAACTCGCCTCGAAGAACGGCGGCCATCTAGGATCACAATATTCTCTCTAAATTTCAATTTTAACGCCACGAGGGTAAAAATAAACATACAAAATCTCTCAAAAACACTTTAGAAACATCAAAAATTCTTGCAAAAATAGTTATACAGTTCCATTTCACGAGAAACGATCGAAAACAATATCAAGAAGTAACCCACGTCGCCGGAAGTCCACCGTAGGAACCTGGGGGACGGTAATTACGATCGCAGACCCCTCCGTTTCCTTCGTCCACAGCTTTTACAGAGTAGAGTACACGCCAGGAATAGGACAAAGCGAACAATTACATAAAATCACGGCGGAAAATGAAATCCCGTCCCGGAATAGTCGATCTAAATTGCTTCCGCAATTTCGCGTACGACTATCCGCGACGTACGAAGCGGCGATGCAAATCGAAGATTGCCTTCCTGAACTACTGCAATATGCTTGTAATATAGAAGCCACTTACTCCGGCGAAGAACGAACACGTAATCGTCTTCATTTTGTGATTTACAGCTTTGCGATGGAGGACCAGTGATGGACCTCGTGCGGGGCCTCGTGTCCATGGACAAGAAACTGCGCGAGGAGCATATAGGTTATATCCTGAAGGAAGTGATCAAGGTAAATTTTCGAAAATTAGATTCATCTTCCCTTTTCATACCTCATACACCTCGTACCGATCATCGAAACTGCTAAACTTACCAAGGCAACACTGTTGCAACACTGTTGCATCGAACACGAGCGAAACTTCGTTCGAGCAATTTCGATCTTGATGGGTGGAATTGCACCTCTGGTTCACGATGAAATGCAAAATGGAGGGCAAAGAGCGCAGTAACGTCCAGCGCAATAGGGAGAGCGTGCAATTAATATGGCAGGTGCTTCGGAGAAAACACGGACTATATATTAAATTAAAATCGATTAGGCTTGGATTACCGGCTCGGGCATCGAGTGGAGATAATACGAGCTAACGTAGACCGATCCTAGTCGTTAATTAATCTGACTCTGTGTGTGTGCAATAAGAAACGCTCTGACGAGGCTCACGCGCGATTTGACGTGGCAATTATTAGCATTATTATTAGAGAATAATTAAATCACTTATGCCTCGTTGCTCCACTGGGTCTGCTAATCGCAGGGGAAGTCCCAACTTTAGAAACTTTTGTCAACAATTTGTTGTTTATGAAATGTTGAGCTTAGAAGTAGGAGTCTTGGCGCGAAACTGTGGACCATAAAAGAGTAAAAGCGATGCACTGTTGCGCAAGATAGACGAAAAGAGTGAGAGAGGTAATGTGGCCGACATTTTGCCGATCGTGCGCGAAAAATCGTATAAGTCGAAGGATCGCGCGTCAATGGAGCAGCATTCTGCCGCGTATAAATTACAAATAAGACAGGCGAGATGGCTCGCTAATTAACCTGCTCGCAAATGAAAGGCTGCCCGCTCGTTCGCCCTTCTCCGCGGTCCGCCATCTCTCCGCGTTCGCAACCCGGAGGATCAAGAGCGCCGGAGACTTCCGTCCCGTTCTCCTCCGAGGCGCGGTGCCTGCGTCTCTCCACGTCCAAGTGAAGCCCCGGCGTTACAGTCGCGGACAAAACCGCGCCGGACTCTCGCCCACCCTGGCGGACGAAAGGGAACGAATTGTTCGAGGGAACGTTTCCCGTCCTCCGTGTATAATTTCGCTCGGGTCACGACGACGATGATGTTTCTGCAATTCCGTTCCCCGTCGCCGCTGAACACAATCTGCCGTAATACCGTCGCGGAGCAAACCGCGTAATGGAAACGGAACGGAGGGGAAACAATTAAAGGAAACGTCCACGGACGACGGGTGTCATTTAAGCGTCAAGCGGCCGCGAACCTGATCGCCGAGGGTAGAACGAGGGTTTCCGGTTCGAGTCGTGCGCGGCCCAGCTTCCGTTCGCCGCGATCGTATTCCCCCTGGCGGGCAAAAACACCGAGAAAGGCCGCCGTAAAATCGATAAAATGGATTCAGCTAATTATCTCCCCCCCCTGGTGGCGTGGGAATCCCCTGAACCTGATACCTCGATCCACCGTGGATACTTTCTACAGTCGACTGTACCACGGGTACTTGCAACACCTATCAACCTATCGACTTTCGATCGACGCGCGACGGGGGAGATCGGATCGATGTAACTGTCAAATGGCATCGAACGGTAGAGGCTACGATACGCGTCGCTATTAAATCCGTGTTCCTAGCGTGGCGGTTTGCTCCCGCGGTCGATGCTTTTCTTTTTTATTGCATTTATCGACGATCTTGCTAATCTGTTTATGCCTAGTACGGTTTCGCCAGATGCTGACGACCTTAGACGTATTTTTACAGCACACCGTAGGCTTCGCCTTACCGCCTCGGGTTTCGAAGGTTCGCGATTTAACGTCGCTCAAGGCCCCCGGTTGCGAGATAAATGGCACTCGGACCAACCCCGTTTTAGGGCCCGTTGCACGCTATGATTTATCGTACGAGAAACCGCGCACGACAAATTGTAAAGAACGAAAGCGAACCGCTGTACAATTTGACGCAACGACTGGCGATCGAGCACGGGGATTCCAGGATCCGGGGGGAAATTCTCTGCGATTCCACGCTGCTTTCGAAACGTTTGCCTGCAACAATGTTCGTTTTTGTAAATGTGCTCGGGGTCCAGTGTTGAGAAATATCAAACTAATAACACTATGAATATTAGGAGACTGAATTTATATTGTACAAAGTGTTATATGGTTGAGTAATTGTATGACCAAACCTCTGCTGCTAGTGGAATCCAAGGGCACTGTTAGTTGAGTCTATTAGAATTTATTAATTGACCCACTAACTGCTATAAATTCAGTATATGATTACAAGTAAAGTTGCATGTAAGGATGTTTATATAATCAAAACTTTGCTGCAAGTAGAATTCAAGGGTTAATTGAGTCTATTAGAACTCATCTATTAACTCAGTCTTTAACTCAGTATAAAGCCTCAGTACAAAGCTAGTATAAAGCTCAATATAAAGTATAAACTCTAAATTCAGTATATGACCTCAAATAAAGTTGCATATAAGGATGTTTATATAACCAAAACTTTGCTGCAAGTAGAATTCAAGGGTCAATTGAGTCTATTAGAACTTATCTATTACCTCACTCTCTAACTGCTTCAAATTCAGTATATGATTCCAAGTAAAGTTGCATGTAAGGATGTTTATATAATCAAAACTTTGCTGCAAGTAGAATTCAAGGGTTAATTGAGTCTATTAGAACTCATCTATTAACTCAGTCTTTAACTCAGTATAAAGCCTCAGTACAAAGCTAGTATAAAGCTCAATATAAAGTATAAATTCTAAATTCAGTATATGACCTCAAATAAAGTTGCATATAAGGATGTTTATATAACCAAAACTTTGCTACAAGTAGAATTCAAGGGTCAATTGAGTCTATTAGAACTTATCTATTACCTCACTCTCTAACTGCTTCAAATTCAGTATATGATTCCAAGTAAAGTTGCATGTAAGGATGTTTATATAATCAAAACTTTGCTGCAAGTAGAATTCAAGGGTTAATTGAGTCTATTAGAACTCATCTATTAACTCAGTCTTTAACTCAGTATAAAGCCTCAGTACAAAGCTAGTATAAAGCTCAATATAAAGTAGAAACTCTAAATTCAGTATATGACCTCAAATAAAGTTGCATATAAGGATGTTTATATAACCAAAACTTTGCTGCAAGTAGAATTCAAGGGTCAATTGAGTCTATTAGAACTTATCTATTACCTAACTCTCTAACTGCTTCAAATTCAGTATATGATTCCAAGTAAAGTTGCATGTAAGGATGTTTATATAATCAAAACTTTGCTGCAAGTAGAATTCAAGGGTTAATTGAGTCTATTAGAACTCATCTATTAACTCAGTCTTTAACTCAGTATAAAGCCTCAGTACAAAGCTAGTATAAAGCTCAATATAAAGTAGAAACTCTAAATTCAGTATATGACCTCAAATAAAGTTGCATATAAGGATGTTTATATAACCAAAACTTTGCTACAAGTAGAATTCAAGGGTCAATTGAGTCTATTAGAACTTATCTATTACCTCACTCTCTAACTGCTTCAAATTCAGTATATGATTCTAAGTAAAGTTGCATATAAGGACATTTACATAACCAAAACTTTGCTTCAACTAGAATTCAAGGGTCAGTTGAGTGTATTAATTACTTATCTATTAACTCACCCTCTAACTCAGTATAAAGCCCCAGTAAAAAGCCAGTATACAGCTCAGTATAAAGTATAAGCCCCAAATTCAATATATGTCCTAAAGTAAAGTTGCATACAAGGACATTTACATAACCAACACTTTGCTGTAGGTATTATAGAGTCCAAGAGTCAGTTGAGTTTATTAGAACTTATAATCATCTACATTAGTATGTTGTTTCAGTGCAAAATTTGCAAATCCAGTTAAAAATTACATTGAATTAGTTGAAAATCTTACAGTGAGTGTTGCTTCAAGCATATAACTCATATCTAATTCACTATGTGACTATATCACACACAGTATATGATTCTAAGTAAAGTTGCATATAAGAACATTTACACAACCAAAATTTTGCTCCATGTATAATAGAATTCTAGGGTCAGTTGAGTCTATTAGAACTTATCTATTAACTTAGCCTCTAACTCAGTATAGAGCCCCAGTAAAAAGTCAGTATACAGCTCAGTATAAAGTATAAACCCCAAATTCAGTATTTGACCCCAAGTAAAGTTGCATATAAAGACATTTACATAACCAAAACTTTGCTGCAAGTAGAATCCAAGGGTCAATTGAATCCATCAGAACTTATAATCATCTATACCAGTATGATGTTTCAGTGCAAAATTTGCAAATCCAGTTAAAAATTACATTGAATTACTCGAAAATCCTACAATGAGTGTTGCTTCAAGCATCCAACTGACCCTCCAACTGCCCCAAATTCAATATATGACTCTAAATAAAGTTCCCTATAAGGACGTTCACCTTCAAATCTTCTGTTGACCCCTACTACTCACTCTTTCTCACCCTGTATCTAATACAGAGTCCCAGGGGCCCAACAAGGAGTTGAGATGAGTGAATTTAGCCAGAATGGGCCCACCAACTTCGCCAAAATCCTCTGCCCCAGACTACCCTTCAAAATACCATCCCAGATATAAAAGAACATCAGCTTAATCCGGGGTTCTAGACCTGTTCAAACCCGGGAAGTCCCATTCCAGCCTCATGCCCCCATGAAAATCGCCCCCGTTGGTCCCCTCTCACAAGTTTCATAACCGTCCCGTTCCACACGCCTCGTATTACTCGCACCTCGAATCCACCTTCAGAGATCCATCGATAAATCGCGAATCGACTTTTCCTACGATCTAACCTATTACGTTACGAACGCAGATCGCGGAGATCGTACAGATCCTCTGACCCATTTGCATCATTACCGTTACTATTTCTTTCGTAAACGGCAATTACGTCGAAGGGAAGAAGTAAAAGTAGCTTGGGGGAGGGGGGATTTAATAGGAAACAATTTGGCGACGTGAGTGTACCATCTTATGCCTTCGAACGGACGCAAACGAGTTAACGTCGAACATTACGAGCGCCATTCTCCTCCACGGTTTCGTGCCGTCCCCGATTCGTTCCCAAGCCGACGAGCTTCGAAATTTACGCGTCGAGCAGTTTGTCGCTAAATCATTGCGCAGAGTCCACTTTTCGAGTACACGCGCACGCACGGTGCTTCTTGCGTTCGCCGTTCCCGCTCCACCACGATCCTCTTCTCTTTCTTCGCCCGTTCCACCGTCCATTCTCGTAAAATACACGCAACCCCTTCTTCATCTCCCCCCGGAGTCCTTCTTGTTCGCGTTGGTACGTGTTCCATGGGCCCAGTAGCGATTCGTCCACGGTTGCTCGTGCGGTAAATCAGACCACGTTGACGTTTAATGCCGGCAAATTACACGCGAAATAAATGCTCGCGAAGAACGGGGCACCCGGTGTCTCTACCGGCCGGGGAAACGCGCGAAGAAGAAAGGATCTGACTCGATCCTCTTTCGGTGGGCGACAAGAAATTGCAACGGACCATGTTGCACTGGGGATATTCATGCGTTTATAGGTGATTTCAGCACTTCGAGCACTTGGAATCCCCTTTTACAAAGCCCCCGTTTCGTTAATTCTATGAGTTTGCATGAAGATCTTCAGTTTAATAGCAACGGAGTGGCTCTGTTCCTCAGGCAGTGATACATCTGCACGAGAACAACGTGATCCACCGCGACATACGCGGCAGCAACATCATGCTGACCAGAGAGGGGGAAGTGAAGCTGGTTGACTTCGGTCTGTCGAGGATGATACAAGGCGAGATGGGCAAACGGTACACCTGCGTGGGATCGCCGTGCTGGATGGCGCCGGAAGTCGCCATCAGCAAAGGGAACGCTTCCGACAGCGGCTACGGAAGTCGAGCGGACGTATGGGCGATTGGAATCACCGCCATCGAGCTGGCGGACGGGAAACCACCGTTTCAAGACATGCACCCCACCAGGGCGCTCTTCCAAATCGTTCGCAATCCGCCCCCCAATTTGTACAGGCCCTCCAACTGGACGCAAACCTTCAACGACTTCATCGCTGAGTACGTCTATCGAATACACACTAAAACATATAAATTATAATAGAAAATGTACTAACCTCAATTGCTTTGGTCTCAGGTGCCTGGAGAAGAACCCGGAGAACAGACCGTTCATGGCGGAAATCTTCGAACACCCCTTTTTATCGGAGCTGCCCGACAGCGAATTCTTGGTAATACAATGTTTGTTGAAGATTAGGAGAGCCGTGAAGGTACTGATAACGATGGGTTTCAGCTGGCGAAGGAGATCAAGGTGCTAATGATGGACGCCTGCCCGAAAGGCAAACAGGACAGGCGAGCGGAAGTGATAGTTCGAAAGAATTTCCTGAAGGTAACGTTTCCAACTAGCTGCGTTGCAACTGCTAGGTTAAACGCACATAATTTGCTTTTCTCGAGGTTCATCAAACCGATCCCCTGGAGCCCATGTTCATGGAGGACGTGGCGGCGCTGGAGACGTTGACAGAGGACACCATTTTGGACGAGCTCCACGAGAGACTGCGCCAGGGATACTACCACAGCTTCGTTGGCGACATACTGTTGATCTTGAATCCCAACGAACAGCAGGACATTTACGGATGTGACGTGAGTATCTTCAAAGATTGATATTTGCTAAAATAAAGCTAACGTTCCTTGCAGTATCACACCAAGTATCAGTGCAAATCGCGATCGGACAACGCGCCTCACATATACTCCGTGGCGGACAGTGCCTATCAGGACGTGTTGCACAACGAGGAGCCTCAGCACATCCTCTTAGCTGGCGAGAGCAACTCGGGGAAGACCACGAACATGATGCACCTCGTTCGACATCTCATGTACCTGGGAAAAGTAATTAATCGTTGCAAAGGGAACACGAAATAAGTAGAGTGTTTCATGAGATGTGGTTTTAGAGCTTGCAGGACACCGGGGCGAGACTGTTCCGTGCCATAAAGGTGGTCCACGCGTTCAGCAACGCGGCCACACCGCTGAATCCCAACTCGACCAGGTGCATCCTGGAGATCCAGACCACGTACGGCTCGTCCGGGAAGGCTTCCGGCGGCATATTCTGGCTGTATCAGCTGGAAAAATGGCGCGTTTCTACCCGCGACAGGTTAAGATCCCATTAAGAGTCCGTTGCTCGTAACCGTTGCGATATCGAACGCCTGACGATCGTTCCGCGCTACCAGAAACCGGCAATTTGCCTGCAAATTAGATTCCAGAGTCGCGTTACGAGCGGCGGCTCGCTTTAATCGCGCTGTTTATCGATTGGACGCGGTAGTCACCATAATGCGTTCCCCCCCTCCGACAGAAATCAATCGAATTTTCACGTGTTCTACTACTTCTACGACGGCCTCGACTCCACGAGCAAATTGAAGCAGTACGATCTGCCGCCGGGCAGGAGGATGAGGTATCTGAGGATCAGCGACAAAGGAACGGAACGGAAACGGTCGTTCAAAGTGAGGAACGATCCGCGGGGGAACGTGGTCAAGTTCGAGGAGCTGATGGAAAATCTACGGGTGCTGGAGATGGAGGAGTACTGCGAGACCATATGGAAGGTGTTGGCCGCGATCCTCACGCTGGGCGAGATACGATTCGTCGAGGGCAACAACGGGGAAGCCGACATGGACAACAACGAGGCGGCCAACAGAGGTAACGGGACTTCCCTAGACCTAGAAAAACTAATTTGGTCATCATATTTTTTATGTATCCTGGTGTACTTTGAATCGCAATAGCTCTGATAAACCCTGACGACGTGTTGTTTACTAAATTGCTAACCTTCTCAGCGGCGAAACTTCTGGAACTGGACGAGAAGAAGTTCGTCTGGGCCCTGGTGAATTACTGCGTGATTGTCAAAGGGAGCGTTGTACGGAAGAAGCACAGCTTGGAGGAGGCGAAGGAGGCAAGGGACGTGCTGGCCAATACGATCTACCAGCGGCTGGTCGACTGGATAGTGAACACTATCAATCATAAGTTTACGGTTACGCGTGCTTTATTGTGAGTTTCGAGACGGAATCGAGGGTCCGCGAGCCGGCTTAATTAAGATGCGTCTGCCTTTCAGCGGCGACAAGTACGCCATCAACGTGATGGATCTTTTCGGATTCGAGTGCTTCGCGGTGAACCGGCTCGAGCAGCTGATAGTGAACACCATGAACGAACAGATGCAGTGCTATTACAACCAGAGGATATTCGCGTGGGAGATGGTGAGTCTTGAGAAACGAGTTCCATGAGCAAGTCACGAACGATCCTCTTTCGTAGCAAGAACAAGAAGAGGAGGACATACCGGTGCAACGTTTACACTTTTACGACAACAAGGACGCGATCGATCAGCTGCTGAGCAAGAGCAGAGGACTGTTCAGCGTGATAGACGACGCTTCCAAACACGCCATGGATTATCAGTACGTTCTGACGAAGATAGAGCAACAGTCGGACAATCTCTACGTGAAACCGGTGAGTTCTCACGAATTTACCGTCGCTCATTACACGGGCAAGCTGGTCTACGACGCCAGCGAGATCGCCGAGAAGAACCGGGACTTTGTCCCGCCGGAGATGGTCGAGACTCTGAGACTATCGAGCTTAGAAACCATGAAGGAAATGTTCACGAACAAGTTGACCAAGTCTGGGAACTTGACTATAGTCGTGGACCATCCAAAAATCGCGGAGAAGAAGACCAGTAAGGGGAAATGGGGCGCGTTGATGCAGGAGACCTCCAAACCAAGGGTGAGACTTTCTCGAGTTTCTTTTAGGATTTGTCTTGGTAGCAATTGCCTTTCACAGTGGGGGTTATTTGTTTCTGTGAGCAGAAGTTCAACACTGCATCCAGAGGACAATACTCCCAGACAAGGAAGATGAGAACGTGTGCAGCTACCTTTAAGTCCACCAGTCTTGAAATTCTCAAGAATCTTTCAACTGGTGGAAGCGGGGGGGTCCACTTCGTCAGATGTTTGAGATCAGATCTCGAGGGGGCGCCCCGAGGCTTCTACCGGGACGTAGTCAGACAGCAGATCAGGGCTCTGGCGATTCTGGACACTGCCAAAGCTAGGCAACGCGGCTACCCTTGCAGGATATCGTTCCAAGAATTCCTTCGAAGGTGATTTGCCTGTAATTTGGTAGTAATTAGCTTTGATTCTCGCGACTTTTCTTAGGTACCAGTTCCTGGCGTTCGACTTCGACGAGAACGTCGAGATCACCAAGGACAACTGCCGTTTGTTGCTCATCAGATTGAAGATGGAGGGTTGGATGATCGGGAAGACCAAGGTCTTCCTTAAGTATTACAACGAAGAATACTTGTCGAGGCTGTACGAGACCCAGGTGAAGAAGATCGTGAAGGTCCAGTGCATGATGAGGGCGTTCCTGGCGCGGAAGAACATGGCGTCGAAGATCACGACGACGGTGAAGAAGGATATCGGTAGGTAGATCGATCGACCCTGGGTGTGCGAGCCGATTCCTGTTTTTTCGCGTCGGTTTTTACCTGTTTTTCGAGAGGCTCGTGCTTTGTTCCATTACGGGGAATTTAACGGGTATTGTTTCAGTGAAGAAAGCGTCTATAAAGAAGAAGGACACGGTGGATATGTCGGAGGACGAGGCGGCGATAATGATACAGAAAGGTAGGGCCGTCGAGGCGCGATCAGAGAACGATTTGATTTTTGACGAGTCCGGGTAGTCCCAAAAACCTATTCTTCTTCTGCCTTTCGTTCGACCGTGTCCTGACAATTCTATGACAGATGCTTTCGTGAACAGCGTACAGGGGCCACACGGTGAGGAAGGAAATGGGGCCGATGATGGGGAAGAGTCAGATGGATCCGGAGACGATGGACATGATGAAGTTCTACAGCAGCAAATGGAGGTCGAAGAGCATGTTCCAAGTCCTCCTACGCTACCGTGCAGCCCGCTATCAAGACCTCGTGCAGTTCTCGCAGCAAGTGAGTGATCCTAAAACCTGGAAGTCCCCTCTATTTACGTTTAAAGACACTTGACTGAAGAAGGGAACTGTTTTAACAGGTGCATCTGTTCAATCAAGCGATAGTAGCAAGTCTGGACGCGACGAGTGAGCGCGCATCCCTGGACAAAGTCAACCAGAATGTCTCGAAGCTCGATTTCCTAGGCTACACGCGACCACCCCAAGTGCACAAGTTACCTTTCAACTTTTATCTCGAGTTACCATTTTCCAACATGAAGAGCACTAGCGGAACGGAAGGTCTTGGGTAAGTTCGCATCGCGGTGTATCTTGTTTTTGATAGAAGGGCTTAAACGAGAGTGATCGTACCTAGTTGAATACTCGTACCCCCTGAACAGTAGCATATCATCCTTCATTGAGCTCATCGTGCCGTGCGTAGACGTCATTTGGTAACTTGTCGCGGTAATTTTGTTCGTAATGAAAAATAAATATACGAATCTCGTTTGCTTGGTTCTTGTCTCGTGCGCTTCTTGTGTTGCATTTTTTATCGTGTCGAGCGTTTTGTTCCGTTCTCCGTTGTGTGCCGTCTCTATCGAAGTAAGAGTCGCTTAAGAACTCTTTCGGAGACTTCTCGCGTCAACTGAGAAATACGTTCTCGCAGATCCGCGTCGTCGTTGGCGTCTGACGACGAGCACGAGGCCTGGGACGCGCCATTACGGAGACAAACGGTGCCTTGGGCCATCAGGAACACTCGTACCAGAGGTGCCTATCACGTTATGTTTCATCCAGGATCCATCGGTGCCAACATTCTCGGAGCAACCCCCCTTTTTTATACATTTTTTTCGTACATTCTCGACTTATCGCTCCCCCTATCTTTCTAACTCTCGATTTGCACAAAATGGCGGACACGAAAATGCTAACGAAACGAAGGACACGTTGAACGGTAGCATTTCCATGTCCTGCACGACTCGATACGTTTTCATCGGAATTCCGTTCGCCCGGTTAACTGCAATATTCGTTTCGTTCAATCGCGTTCCTCTTCAAGGACCAGTCTGGTACTTTATTAACAGACTATAGGCGAGGTATCTTGAAATTGAGTTCCAGACTTGTTCCAAACAGTTTATAAAAATACGTGGACCCCCAGAAATTTTTTTTTTTCCATTTCCCAACAGCCTTCATCTACTCTTTTTCTTTTCTATAGTACCATTGTCATAACACGCAGAAGAGCTTTGTAGATTTTTGAATCTTCCATCCATGCATACGACGATCACACCTATGAACTAGCTTCATTTTTCACTACTGTCGTTGTTTTTCACTTTTTGTACACTGAATTTGCAGAGGAAACTGCACACAGACTGTAAAAACTTGTACTCGAGAGCTGGGATCTTGACTACGGACGTTAATTACTTTTGGACCGAGGCACGATAGTTAACACCTGTTTGCCAGGTGTGAAAACGATGCAGTTTATTGCCCACCGGTACTTTTTTTTGGGCTCGTCGAGCGTTTTTTCAAAAATGTCTATTGTACATATACCGTTAAGAGACTCTTAGAGTTCTTATTTCGTTAAAAATTCTATAAAACTGGAGAATAGCAATTTACCATCGCCATTTTGGATGAAAAGTACCAGACTGGGTCCTCAGGAGACGCATAGTCGGGCGTCGAGAGAACAAAAACTAACGAGAAAGTCTCGATTGCCTGAACCGAGTGGCGACTGTTCTGTTCCCCGGAGAGAACTCACTCTCCAATCGGATTGCTCTGCATTTTTCAGACGTCGAGGTTCAAACGACGAACTCGCCACACCGAGTGGCGCATTCAGGCGCCGAGGGAAAGAGTCTGATCGACACTCCGTTTTCCAGAGACCCGAATATCTCGGTACGATGCCCACCAGAAGACACGTCCCGAAGCAGAATGGGTAACGCCGGGTTTCAACATCATTCGAGCAACCGTAGTCCTGTACCATCTGCTAACGCTCATAATCCTCGCTCAGTAAGTTCGACGAACCCCCATTTCACCTCCAATCCTCCTGTTTCCATCGTTGCAACAGTGCAAGGCCTTCGTCAAACTGTGCAAGTGGGGTACATCTTTCTCCTCTGTTGTTGAGGACCATGTGGACTCAATTTTTTAGATATTTGCAATTGAAGCACCTTGAATTTAGGGATTGATGGAGTCTTCAAGTGCAAAAAATAGTGGTCCATGTGTCCACGAGAAGAAGGCACAGTGTTTACATCCCCACTCTTGCTGCAGTCCGCTGATTGACTGTCACTGATCTTCATCACCGTTTTCGACCAATGCCCTGTGAGTCAGCGGACTGCAACAGGAGTGGGGATGCAAACACGTCGTGGCTTCTTCTCTTGGACACATGGAACCCTCACCAAACAGGGGGTCAAAATGTACCCTTCTTGCAAAGTGAAGTAAATCGGTGGTCCTGAAGGCTTGCACTCTTTTTGTATTTTTGTGTTGTTGTTTACATGATCGTCTGTGTTTTCAGAATGATTACGATAGCACCGGGTCGATACGCTCTAGAAAACACGCACCGCCTCCCCCCATTCCGTTCAATCAGACGCAACCACCCCCGATACGTAGCGCCGACAACTATAGCTCGGAGAGTCGAAGTAAAAGCAACGTGAACACCGGTAGCAACGATTGGGAGTTCGAGGACAGAGTCAACAGGAACACCGCTAATCGGTTCGATCGCGCATACGTTAATTCGCGTTAGGTTGGCGCTTATGAGATTGTAAACTTTTCATACGCGCCAATCTGGTTATTAAATTTTACTGTTCTACTCTCGTGTCTTTCTCTCGCTTCAGTATAAACCCGATTCAGGAAATGCAGATGATAGGTCGAAGGAACAACGAGGGCCACGAGGACGACGACCCACCTTTCAACTTTCAGGTTAGAAAAAATTTTAATTTCTTATATTTTATGATCAAAATTCTCTTATAAACATCAGCAGTTTAATGAGATTAGTTGTAATTCGTCTTGGATGATGTCAAGTGGTATCTTTAGGCGGCCATCTTGGATCACAATGTTATACAAGTCGTCTGGAAGACGGCGGCCATCTTGGATCACAATATTCTATCCGAATTTCAATTTTAACGCCACAAAAGTAGAAATAAATACAGCAGACCTCTTAAAGATACTTTATAAATATCAGAAATTTTTATAAAAAGAATTTTAAGGTTCTATTTATCGAGAAATGTTCGAAAAGAATATTAAGAAACCCCAAGTTCCATCTTAACCTTCTTTTCGATGAAATAGAACTGTACAACTGTTTTTATACAAATTTTTGATATGTATAAAGTATTTTAAAGAGGTCTGCTGTATTTTTCGATGAAATAGAACTGTACAACGGTTTTTATACAAATTTTTGATATTTATAAAGTATCTTTAGGAGGTCTGCTGTATTTTTCTCTGCCCTAGTGGCATTAAAATAAAAATTTAGGTAGAATATTGCGATCCAAGATGGTTGCCGTCTTCCAGGCGAGTCGTAGAGTATTGTGATCCAAGATGGCCGCCAAAAAGTGTCACGTTTTCCAATCTGCGTTGAATTACAGCTAATATACACACGTTTATGCATTTATTCTTATTACAACAATTTATATCTTACATGTTTCTTCTATATTTGCAGATTAAGTAATAATTAAGTATTAACATTTTATAGTCGTTTGAAAATTAAAATTTCCCATAAACGCATGGATATTTGCAGTTTGCTGATTACTGTTTCTTCACAGGGGATGCTAAGGAAGACCAGCCATCAGCGAGCATCGATGAAGCGCACTCCTGTCTACGACAGCTATTCACCGTCACCACTGCCAGGTTCCGGGTACCGTAGCGAGTCGAACGTAGTTTACAGAAGCGGTGGTAGCCGCAGGGACTCCCCCGAGTGGAGTCCCAACGAGATGGTGAGGATGTCCGAGAAGTACGGTAAAGAGGGCGCATGGGGAGAGGATCGGGCCAGCGGCGGACGAAGAAACGTCTCCGAGATTGTCACCACCGCCGAGATCGCGCCGGGAATCGTTATAGAGGGTTACGTGGCCGAGTTGTAAAATTCGAGCCCGACCGAAAAAGCTTCTTGCGTATCGGAACCGAGGGGCAAAAACTGGACCAGTTGGAATTGCTAATACCGCGCGAGAAAGAGAGAAAGAGAGACGAAGAAACGACGAGAGGCCCGAGAGATACCTGTAGCTGTCCCGACGGGAACAAATGCACGACTCGTATGATTCTTGAACGGAACGTTTACCCAACTCCAACCGACGTTGCTGACTCGGAGAGATGTTTCTTTTTGCCCTGAAAATATGTACATACGTATATTTTTTATTGCTTTTATTTGCCCTTTTTTTAACTGGAGAGAAAAAGAGAGACAGAAACGTGACTCTGTTTCTCTTTTGTAATTTTTTTCATCCGTGCCTCGAGCGACCGCGAAGCCCTTCCGACACGCGAATGATTTTCGTCAAAAAAATGGTTTTCTCCAACAGTTGGCAATGGCTCCTTACAGACGAACATTTTTTCGGTCACTTTTTTTTACATTGGCGGACACATCGATCGTGGTTTCCAAAATAACGGAGAATATTCGACAATAAGATGAATCTTTTGTTCCTCTCGGATGAAACTGCGTCGCTGGACGCCCACACGTGTTTCGATTCGAGGACGACGCTTTCGCACCCACACTCATCGCACGCAACAGTTCACCGACCAAATGGAAATTATTGGAAACGTGCACCCTTGCACGATCGGTTCTATCGAAAAGCACGAAACTCCCCCGTCACTTTTACGAAATGAATATTTATAAAAAAGTTTCAATCGACTGATGCACGATATTGTCAAAAGTATTTTAAAGAATAAACAATTTTAAAAAGTCCGCATTGTATACTCAACGACCTGATTAATTTTAGGCGATAAACTTTTTTTTAATTACATAATTTGTACCAACACACCGGAAGGAATATTAGTCGCGCATCGAACGTTTATTTTATAAAACTCCTATCAATACAACAATAAAAATACTGCGCGCAACACAGTACAATACTGGCCGTAGACGGTGACTATAAAAGCGATATGTACAAAGAGTATAACGACAATATACATATATAAAAAAAATTAATGAGAAATAAACAACTGTCGCCAAAAAAGGCGACGAGGCACTTGTAAAATAAAGAAAAAAAGTTCCAATTTCACTCGCGAATCACAGCAACGATCGTTGCACGATCGGGATCGTGGAATACTTGAGAACTATATATTAGTAATTTGCGTAGTATATAAATTATAATCTGCTAACCAAAACAGGCCTGTGGCAAGGGAGGGGCAAAAGGCGCCCTTAAAATAAACAAAATTTAACTACTTCAACGCCCACGCACGCGTACCAAGATTTCTTCTTAAAAAATTCCCAAATTTTTACTCGCTAGTATGAAAACAGTGGAATTACATATATATATATATATATATATATTATTAACGCCTTAAGACTAATAAATTTCTTTCATCGAGCGTGGATGCGACAAGAGACACCTAAGCTCTACCCTGTAGCAAGGTGTCCAGCCTGGTGGGTCGCGCGATCTGCAGCACCATGTGCGCCTCTTCGAGAATCAGGAGGCCGTTGTGCGCATCGCTGGCGGACAGATTGTGCGCCAGTATCACGTGCCGTCTCCAGGCCGCATGCGTGGGCAGAACCTGAAACAAAATCACAGTCAATACGCCTGTTACGTTGACCGTCTCCGCGCCTCGTTTCCCCCCCGCCCCACATACTTGCAAGCACCATTTGCAATTAAGAGACGGCGAGATCGTGTGGACCGCTTTGATGTGCCTCCGTCGGAAGCCCCAGCTCGTGTACGCTCTGTCGCAGAAGGGGCACGGGAACGGCGGGTACGCCGCGGCTCCCTTTAACGTCTCTTCCGGGAAATCGGAATTGCCAGCGGCCGCGGCGCGGCTGGGGATAGCGGAACGCAGAATCCTGCCGTCCTGATCCGCGCCAAGGATGCTCGACTCCTGTTGGTCGACCGTCGACTCGGGGTACGAGCGTCCGGGCGAGTGGAGCTCCTCCGCCGATTTGCAGCTGCTCCAGGGCGGGGTTCGACCTGGCGACGGCGTGGAGATCTCCCGCGCTTCGGCGATCACCGTCACGCCGGGCCTCGACGACGAGCCTGCAAGTAATTCCAGTCCGGGGCTTCAAACTTTCCTCAACCTTCCTCCACTTTTCGAAGGATGATGGTTCGGGCGGGGATCTTCTTGGGTTTTTATTTATTTAACTACAATCACTTTGTCAACAATTTACTACCCTGGGGAAGGTTACTAACAGAGGTGTTCACCTAGATCAGGAGTAAAGGGGGGGAAGAGTGAAATTTCACCTAATTTTAATTTTAATTTTAATTTTAATTTTAATTTGAATCCTCCATCCATCTGGAGTTAAGAGGATACACAATAGGAAGTCGAGAGGCTCTGTCGCGTATCCCGTGCGCGCATGCGCGGGGAAAGCGACCAGCCGGGAAATGACGAGACAATTAAAAATGTAAAATAGGTTTATTTGTAACCAGTCGTGTTGTGTTTCGTCTACAATCGTATAGATTTAAATAATAATCAACTCGAAAGCGTAACCTCGCGGTACCGAACGAAAGTAAATGGTGGCAAACAGACGCGACGATGCGTTTACTCTTTGCTTTTTTTAAATACTCTACAAGCATGTCTTATACTAGTTCCTTCATCGTACGGAGCTACGATTTGTTTTATGCGTACCGTGGAATCGCCCTCGACGCTCACGTACTTACTTACACGCGTCTGCGCGCGCACGCAACCAGAGTCGGCCGTTATTCGGGCAGATTTCTATCTAGATTATTCCACGAATGAAACATTGTTTGTCATTCGTGACACGACACGAACAATTTATCGGCCGTTTGAATAATATTTCGACCGCGTGTGACCCGTGCCGGTGGCACACGCGCCCTACAGTGTGTAGCTACGCGCGTGTGTACGGTAAATTGCGTATGTACGCGTGGGAATGACTCCGGGGCGTGCCTCAGCGACGCAGCGCGATTAATATTAATGCGTGTTTATGTAGATCGTCTACGAGAGTGCGTAGTTGCGTGAACATTTGTAAAATGAACGGAAGGAATGTTACGTTGCTCGAGTTACCAGGTACGAGGAACAGGAAAAAGAAATATAACGGAATGGACGTAGTGAAAAACGGTTTGTTCACCAACGAAAGACAATGGTACAAAGATTCGTATCGAATAAACAATTTCCAAGTTACTCGATCGTTCGCCACGTGAAAGCAAACGTGAAGCGTGTAGGTAACTGGACCCCCTTGCCTGGAATGCTTTCCGTCTCCCTACTGTCTCTTTAGGTTAGGGTCGCGCGAACGTCCAAACGACGATATCTTCTTCCTTGTCCTGCATTTGAGTTGGTTTGTTTTCAATTATAGGCAAGAAAGAACATAAAAATTCACATCGTTTCAACACTTGTGTGTTCTAAACGACGTGCTTTTGTATGTTCTTCCTTGTCCTGCAATTGAAAGCATCGAAAACAGACAAGATCAGCGTTCCTATGTGTCTTCAACTGTAAGAGAAGGAAGAACATAGAAACGCAACGACCTAAACCGACCATAGAGATATTCCGTCTCTTGGACCTCCCCCTCCCTGCCTAGCCACGCCCCCTCCCCCTCCAAGAGAGACGATCACGTTCCGTGAGCCGCGCGTGGTGTCTCCTATATCCGTTTCCTATTAGTCGAAGATCTGCAAGAGAAGAAAGGATACGGAAACCTCGAGGCGATCCAGAAGATGATCCTAAATCCTCAGCGAGAGAAATGAGTTCATTCTAGCCAGTGAAAACGTTTCCGTTTTACCCCTGACTTGAAACGCCCTAGTCATTGAGTGTAAACCGACCGCCTCTGGAACAGATACCTTTTCAAGCCCCTATTGCTAGTGTCGATTTTCGTCACGCAATTCTTCCACGTCTCCTCCCACTCGACGCTATTGGGTGCAATACCACTAAAGTGCAACAGAACTTCTCTTATCAAATGTATTTTGTTACTATCGAACTGCTGTTTGCCCATCTTGCCGTTTACGTTACAGAGAATCCTCTCCTCCGGCGTGAAGAGGATCTTCATAAGGTCACAGGCCAAATGGTCCATCGGTCGGGAGGACGCCCAGGTTGAGATAATCTCCGGGCTCGGCAGAAGATCGGCGTAAGGTAGCTGTTGATACGCGTAAAGCAGTGGCTTCACGTCCGAGAATCCAGTTAGGCCGGATAACCCAGATAAACCGGATATGTCTTCAGCAGGGCTGTTCCCAGACCCTGCCACACACATCAGAGCACAGCCTGCTTTAGACACGGGATCCCCCTGGCGCGTGGCTGGGTTGCAGCGAGTTGCACCGAGCGATAAAAGCAAAGGTTCGGCGAGGTTCTTTAACGCCGCGTTATATCATTCCATTTGTCTCTTCTGTCCCGCGTGCACGTATATCTTAGTTCACTCTGAACGGCTTAGAAGCTGGAACTTCTAGCGGCAAACGACGCGCAAGTGATACACAACGACAAACGGAACGATTCAACTAATTTTTTTTTTGTCTCTCGTCTAGTCACTAGCTCGATAAAGTAACCGCTGCCTTCGCCTTGATCTCTAAGTCCCTTCGATCTCGTTTAACGCCTGACTTGCACGCGCCCAATCCTCATCTCTAGCGACTCGCTTAGCGCAACAACCAAAAGAAACGAAAGAAATACGTGCCACACCAATCGAATAAAGCAGAAGAAACGATCAAAGCTAACTGAACGATTCGACAAGCGTCCGGAAAACAAAACGATACGAGTGAATCGAAACCAAATGGTGTTTTTGGTGCTCGTTGGCTTTAGATTCGAATCGGGGGATACTGTCGCGTGATTATCACAATCAATTTCATACGTTTGCACGTATCTAGGTCGCAGGAGCATTTCTAATAGCGTAAGCTTTTTTCGATCAAGTACACCTCGAATAAACATTTTGCATTGTCCAGACTGAATGTTCAGGTTTGACTCGGGTATGATTTCGACAAATGTAGACATTGTAAATTACATTGCACCAGGTTTTAAACTTCGCTGAATAAAAATTTAAAAACAGAACATGAAACAACAGACTACCATCGAAAATAAGACACAACAAATTGCACATAAATATTGAGCATAAAGTAAACACAAATTGCGAGGAACAAAATAATAATAATATATTCCACAGATTAGATATCGATGCTTAACCTTATCCCATTCTTTATTACGAAAGTAAATTTTATATGCACTAACCTTGACTTCCGTCAACTTGACCGGTGTCTAATCTTTCCACTGGATCTTTGTCCGCCGCTGATTGTTTCTGAATTTCCTCCACCACTGCTTCCAACGGTTCTATCTATAATACAAATAAAGTAACTACCGTGCCCTGTTTATTATACAATTTCAAATATCATCTGGCTCGACTAACCTTCATCTCCAACCCATGATAGAGAGGATTCTGTAAATTCTTCTGCAACGGGCAATCCCCTTCTTTCCCACCTTGCTCGCTGGTCGTGGACTCGTCTGTACTGTCCAATTGTGATACCTTGGGTGTCAGCGCAGTCTCCAGAATAGAATTATTCTGATGTTTACTAAGCTTCTGCTTTTTTTTTGGTGTTTCTTCCTTGGTAGGAGTCGTCGCTTCCTCCACCGCCTGCTCTAATTCCGCTAATCTTTTATAAGATTCCTTAGCAAATATATCTCCTCCGGAAAGTCCCCGAATCTGCAAGGTCTCAGCAGCTTTCAACAAGGCCGGCAAATTTTTCTGTTCGATATTTACTTCACCTTTGTATATAAATATAAGTAAAGCTTCTAACTCGCTGAAGTGTACATCTTGCAGTATTATAACCGGATGCTGACACGGATTTGTCTGCAACCAACGACAGAAACGTCTCTATTCGTTCGGGAAAATTGGAGCAACAGAATTGAGATCCGGATGGACTTAGTAACCAAAGTAAACTAACAGTACAATACTTGACGAAACGATATCTCTTCGTTACATCTTACCGATCGATCGATACGACAAAGAATGTCAACGGACAACGGAACAACAATCAAAACGTGAACGTGAACGTGAGGGTAAAGCAAAAAAAAAAAAAAAAAATGCAAATGACTAACCTGGAAAACCTTCTTGAAGAACGGGCTGCTGGCTGAAAGAATCACTTTGTGTGCAGTTAGACACTGTCCATCGCTCGCCAATGTCACATCAACTAGACCTTCCTCCTCCCAGAGGCTCTCGAAGCTCGTCGCGATGTTGTTCAAAAAACTGTTCCATTTTAGACATATTTGACTTGACATCTCGCGTATAGTGTCGAATTTGTCAAAACGTTATCACTGCGTCCCGAGCGTAATATCTACGGCACGTTTTCGCGTCGTCGCGGTTAAAACTTAACGACGACAACAACAACGTCGTCGACGACGACAACGACGGGGTAACAACGACAACGGCACCGAGGACGACGACGGCAACGATCACGATGTAACAGCAGTCGTGCCAGGCACGCACAAACATCCTTGGTGCCTTGGTGCTGGGTTGGGAATACATAGTCAATATGGCCGCCATGATCTGCTCGTTGAAATGCGCGCGGACGTTAGAAACGGTTATCGATATACCGAACACTAAATTTCTTATAACGATACACACTTTTTAATCAAACTTGCTAGAAATTACGAATAATCGAGGAAACTGACTGTTTTCTTGCATGCTGAGCGAAAAAACTAGTACAAAAACGTCTTATTCGTGTTAGATTTACTCGTTCGAGAGAAAATCTTCGTTTCGAAAATTCGTTCCGATTACTCGTGTTCGCGTTACTAAAAGAAAGTAATGGCGGTTACAAAGACGCCGGGGTGAGGGGGGAAGGACTACATTAGTCAACAAAAACCGTTAGATGTTTGAATTTGAATTGCTTCGAATTAATATTTCTACTTCCGTTTATGATTTTTAGGGGCGCGATTCTTAAATTCTCGAAATCTCTTTTTTTATACCTTTTTATACGACTTTTGAACTGTTCGAACCGCTGAAAGAAATCGTTATATCCGTCGAAGAAAGCAACGTATTTGAGAAATAAGAAAAATAGAATTTGTCAGCATGTAGGCTACAAACCATGCGCGCGTGCTCGCGTGCGTGCGTCAAGTGTACAGGTGTACACGATCGTCAATTCTCGCGTGCGTGCGCAACTACATGCGTGCCATGCGTGCGTGCACTCTCGCATGTCGCATGCTTGCGTGAGTTCGTATCCCGTAACACTGTTCCGTAATCGTTAAGGTTCTGCCTTTGCGTCTCCAATGTAGATATACCCGAAGTACACGGGGAAAAATATTGCTCGAGCCTGTAAAAACAAAAAGAAAAGAGACAAACGAATGATTAATACGAGAAGAACTTTATTCGATGTCACAGATGCGCGATCTTTACTCGATGTAATTACGGCGCGATAAATATTTTAATACGACGAGACGCGGCTAATAAATTCTGCTCCGCAAACAAACATTTGCCTGAATCACCGTGCTAATTAATATTCGAAAACTGGTTACAAATTATAACAGTCGTAACTCGTGTTTCGTGGACAGCACTCACCAAAACAAGGTTGTTATTCTTAGTGCCCCAGTGGGCCTGTATTAAGGGGTACTAAGCAAGTCAGGTACACGATGTCCTTTTGTTTTAGGTGCAGTCGCCGCTTTTACCTGGATATTCTTCTATCGATAGACCTTTCTTATTAAGAATTATTTAAAATGAATTTTACATAAGAAAAATACATACTGTACGTCTAGGATATGTTAAATTTGCATTTTTATATGCTACAAATAGTTCTTGATTGTTTATGTTTACTATTGTATCATTACTAATTAACCCATTATCGCAGATGATGGCAATGGCGTCGACTGTTGATGTGTCATTTATTTATTAAAGATGCTCTTTATTGTTTACTAATATTTACATGTATTTATTGTAATTCTAAATATTAATAAAACTCTATACCAGGGTGTTCGACCAACCCTGGGAAAAATTTTAATGCGAGATTTTAGAGGCCAAAATAAAATTAATTTGTTGATAGAGGCTTTGTAAAAAAGTTATTAACGTTTAAAGTTCCGCTCATACTGAATTTTTTTCTCGAAAATGGGTAGGATTTCGAGGGTATGTCTAATGAGAAAAAATGGTTGTAATGAACTCCCTTAGCAAAAAATAATTTTTTTAGAACGATTTGAAATTTTTCAATTTTGTCGAAAATTTGGTCCACCTATTCGAATTTTTTTCTCGAAAATGGATAGAATTTCGAGGGTACGTATAATGACCAAAAATGATTATAATTGACCCCCACAACTAACAATAATTTTTTTAGAACGATTTGAAATGTTTCAATTTTGTCGAAATTTTACCCACTTATTGAATTTTTTTCTCGAAAATGAGTAGGATTTTCGGGATATGTCTAATGACCAAAAATTATTGTAATTGACCCCCGCAACCGAAAATAATTTTTCCAAAACGATTTGAAATTTTTTAATTTTGTCAAAAAATTTTACATCTCGAATTTTTTTCTCGAAAATGGGTAGGATTTCGAGGATATGCCTAATGATAAAAAATTATTGTAATTGACCTCCGCAACCGAAAATAATTTTTCCAGAACGATTTGAAATTTTTTAATTTTGTCGAAAAATTTCACACCTCGAATTTTTTTCTCGAAAATGGGTAGAATTTCGAAGATATGTCTAATGATAAAAAATGGTTATAATTAACCCCCGCAATCGAAAATAATTTTTCCAGAATGATTTGAAATTTTTTAATTTGTTTAATAACTTTTTGACGAAGCCTCAGACAAGAAATTAATATTCTTGATTTTCGTCTTATTTTTATTAAATTTTTGAACCTGTTTTTTTAAGAATATTAAAAGTTATATGTTTGCAGTAAGCATCGATATACATATACAGAGTCACACGAAACTTATACGCCGTGCAATCATTCCGATAAACACGTTGAAATATGCAGAATGTCCGTTTTATCAAACAAATACTTTTCACATATCGATTCATTTATTAAACGGGTGGAAATCCATTATTTTACGTAAGCTGTACCGTCTACGCAAACTGCACAGATACAAAAGAGTAAACAACAAAAATTCTGATTACATTAACGCGTTAGTCTGAAAGGAATGAATTTAACAAAACGTATGAGTAACGATAAAGACTAAGAATACGGATAACAGAGAAGAGAAAAGAGATTTAGTAATCGGATGACTCTATAAAATATCTGTACTATGACTTTTGTTATTACGATTGCACTTCTCTGACGATTATAACATCAACGATGAGTAACGAAAAATTTAATTATCAGACTAATCTGATGCGCCTGATAAGTGAATAGATACATATGTGTCGTGATTTAAAAATCACAAAAAAAAACGCATAATATCGTTCTCTGACGGCGTAAACAATGGAGCAAAAATTCCACAAATTTAACCGGAGTGAGTCGTTTTAAAAGGCGGATCGACCTCGGTCTAATCAACGTGTCTAATAATAAACGGACAAGGTATCGAGGGGGAGCGAATTGACCTGAAAGCGAAGGAGTACAAAACGTTACGGTCAAGACTCGTCAGAAGGGATAATCACCCCTGGATCCTTTGAGTCTCGATATTCCTCCTGCTACCTACCGGCCTCGCGTCGACCAATCAGAGAACGGTGGACGGGGGTGCATGAGCGCCTTACGTACAACGCCACGTTTATTTTCCAGTTCATTTGCGATTCCTCAGGTGTGTCGTGCCATCCGTGACGGGTGAACACAGAAATCCGAATCGATCGTTTTTCTCTGAGCCGGCGGCGACGCGGCGATAACGAGAGTAAAGTGTCAGCAATCATGCCTAAAGAAAACAAAAACACGAACAGAAGAGACAGACGTCAGTGCCCCTCTGTCGATAACGTAAGTACTTTCGTGCGTGGAAACCGGATTAAATTCGAAAGATCGTAGACGCGAGTTTCGCAACAAACCGTGCCGATTGCGCTCGATTTCTGCACTATTCGTCCCGACAACGGAGACCAACGGGGAATAATTAAATACTTATCGTCCGGTAGCAGCGAACGGTAACAGCGTCTGGTGCACGGTGATGTCACTCCCTAGATAAATCAACGCTAATTATGTTTTAAATTATCCGAGCGTTAACAATATTTACGTAACGATAAATTTCTTTGGCTCGCGAGGGAACGTACTTACTTTCGACGAGATTATCTGCTCGGGCAATGGTCGAGCGAAATTCGCCGATTGTGTTTCGTCAGGCGACCGATCCGCAACTCCGGAGGCGCTTCGACGACCAATAGTTTATTAGTTTCGCGCTCGTGCACGACCGGTGTATCGTCATCTCGACCGTCTTCGAGGATCCCTGGCACGTTACTCGCGTCATCGCGGAGATTACGACGCTCGAAGACACTGTTGCATCGTTGTTCGCAACCTACGAACGAAATCGAAGTTAGAATAGATAATAAAGTATTGTATTTCTGTAAACTCGACAGGAAGCTGCGTCCTCTGGTGAACGTGGACAGACGAAATCCGTGATTGGAAGCAATCGTTACAGCCCCTTTGTCCGTGAATCGCTGAGGAGAGACTCTGGAATGGAGAAACAGATTGTGAGCGTGCCGTCGATCGAAGCTCTTCACTCGATCAGCGGTGGTATCATCGAAAGTGGTATCAAATACATCATGTTCCCGTTGCATCTTTTACGGTTTTGCATATTCGGCATGGCAGCGGGGTCCGTCGATTCTGAGAAGCGCGGAGAAGCAAGGCCAGCGAAGAAAGACGAGACGCGAGATAAAAAACGGGATGAGAAGAGCACGAAGGAACGCGAAGAGAAGAGCGCGAAGGGAAAAGAGGAGAAAAGCAAGAAGGACGTAGATACCTCCAAAGATAAATCGCGGGAGTCGCGGAGGAGTTCGAAATCTAAGGAAGACTCATCGACTTCCAAAGAGAGTTCCAAATTGGAGGATAAAAACGAGGAATCCATCGACGACATGGTGACCGCCGAGGAGGATTCCGACTCATCCATGGAGCACTGGAGCAACGCGACTTGCACGTTGCCCACGGCGTCCATGGACTACGATAACATCGAGAGATCGATGTCGCACGCGATAGCTACGGAGCCTATGGACATATCGATGGAGGAACAGAGTCACGAGAAATCGTATACCGCGACGAAGACGTCCCGGGACGTTGAAAGTAAATCCTCGAGGTTGCACGCGGAGGAGCGGGGCAGTAACTCCTCGGTGGACGAGGAGATCGCTAGGATCTTCCAAAAGCAGTGCACATCCTCCGAGGACGAAGTTGCGTCCGATCGTTGCAAGCCTTTCGTCGCCCACAAACGCGAGAGGACGAGGCAAACTAATTTCCTTTGCAACGAGAAGAGCAACTATTCGCGATCGAAGGAGCAGCAGGACAATGACAGAGAACGAACGAAGAAACCGTCCTCCGACGTTGCCCAGCACAAAAGAAGAAAGGTGACGCGCGAAGAGGATAGGCACGAGAGGCGGGAAGAGAAGCATGGCTCGCGTCACGATACTCCCAGCAAACACAAGTCGCGATCGTCGAGGACCCCGGTGAAGAGTAAAGAGTCGAAACAGAGGGATACCAAGTACAAGGAAACGGCCACGCAAACGGACAGCGCTTTTTCGGACGATGACGTCGAGATGATCCCGATCGATGTGAAGCTGGCTGATAAACTGTTCTGCTGCAAGCACGCAGCCCGGAGATCGCTGTCCAATCACTTGCAGGTACGTTGATCGTCTTGTTAGGCTCTGTAATTGTTTAATGTATCGTTTATTTCTCTGTCTAGAGCAAGGAGGTGGAGCAGGAATTAAATTATATAGCTGACAACGAGGATTCCGCCGATGGGTTCAAAAGGGTGGCGCGCAAACGAATCTCGTCGTGCAGTACATCCTCTTCTTCGACGGATCTTGGCTTCGACGAACGCGTGTCCGCCACTCTAGAGACACTTTCTGATAACGCTTTCAGAATATGCAGTAGGGCCCCGCCAGGGTTCCCTGAACTGCCTCAGAATCCACCGTTGACGTCCAGCCAGCAGTTTGTGGCGGTGGTGGCCTTAAAAGATAATTATTCGCCGGTCGTTCAAACGGCGGCGAACGTACCGCGAGCTCCCTCGCCCATGAGACATCTTTATTACAACTATCCTGAATTCATGGACCTCCCTGTGAACGTGGAGTCTTCAAGAATTTTAAAAAATATCTTAAGGAACAACTACTACCGGTGATTGAGACGGAAAAAAAAATACACATGTGTGTATGTGTATATACAGAATTACGAACAAATGTGCAATAAAGACGACGCAAAGAGACCGGCGCATTTTTTCTTCCTCCCTGACGCATCCGTTTCAAAAGTTTATTAGAAATATATACAACGTACAAAGCGACAACTTTAACAATTGACGCGTTTTTTTTTCTTCCTATCGTGATGCCTTATGGCGTGGGCATGAACGATAGGTTCATCGGCGACAACTGATTTCCCGGAGTAGAGTCGGTTCTTTCTCCTCGATCGATTATGGGATCCGTTTCGTTCATATCCTCTACCTGCAACGAACTTAATATATCAAATCTGATAATTCAATTCTCTAAATGTAATAAGTGTTCTCTAATTACCACCATCGAAGTCTCCTCCACTTTTACTCTCTTTTGAGCGATCGTTCTCAGTAGTGCTTTAGCTTCCTCTTTCGTTTCATCGAATTGCAAACACTTTTGTGCGTAATGATTAGCTTGGTCCAGCTGTTCCCGTTTTAAATGATACTGCGTGAGATACTTATACGCGTGGCTTAAATCGGTTCTATCCGCGTTTCTAGACTCATCCATAACGAAGTCATTGTAAGCTGCTGCCGCGCTATCGTGTTCACCCAACTTCTCATACAGCCTATAATAACTTAAATTAAAAGATATACTTATATCTCTAATCTTATTAAACGTTAGCACCTACGTAGCTAATTTTAACAATGCCATTCCTTCGATGTCGCCAACACTGCATGCTTTGTAATAACATTTGAGAGCATCTTGTATTTTGTCTTGCTTTTCATACGCTTCTCCCAAAGCTAATACCATTCTACTGTCGTGTGGCCTCAAAAGTTGTGCCTGTTTATAGTAATAGATTGCGTAGAAAGGCATTTTCAAAATTTCATACGTTTGACCCAAACCATACCAAGCCCTATAATCCCGCCTATTCACTTCTACATAAAAATAAAAAAGTCACACACCCGAACACCCACATTTAGTTACATATACTTATATACGGACCAATTGCTTGACGATAACTGTGAATAGCACCATTAGTGTTTTTCATTTCCATGAATTCATGACCAAGCAATGTCCAGGCTGAAAGATACTGTGGATTCATTTTCAATGCCCTGTGAAAATACATCACTGCCTTTTGATGATCTCCTCTTAAACTGTAGTAATTTCCTAGAGAATATTAATTCTACCGGATAGAAAAATGGGCGTTTAGTTTCTATTGTAAAAAGTGCGACAAACTTACCTACTATACAACATGTTTCTAATTTATATTTATCTATTTCTGTCGCTCTGTGAGCCAAGTTTGCCAATTCGACTCTCATTTCTTTTACGTAAAGTAAATTGGAATACGTGTCCATATTATCCAAACAATAGGGGTCTTCTTTAATTATTCTTTTAAATGTCTCTATAGCATTGTCAACATCTGAAGTAAAAACATGCCTTCAGCATATGTGTAAAGTTAAAATATTTATAATTCCGGACTAGTCGACTTGCCTCTCCTATAATGTACTGCGATCGCAGTTTGAGCACGTACGTAACCATTCTTTTCGAATCCCATTGATTGTAAGTTGCAATATAAAGCTAAACCCTCGTCTATTAATTGTAATTCTAAATACATGTGAGCCACGAAGAAATGTTTCATCCAATGATTGGGCAAACATAGGTTTTCTAATTTTTCTCTATCGGTTACCAAAGAAGCTAATTCCAACCACGATCCCCAATGCATAGGTTGCTTGTGCGTTGCTTCGACCAATACGTCCATAGCTTCCCGGCCAAGTTGCAATTTTTTCAAGGTCACGCCGAAAAGATATAAACCAAAACCATCCAGCTTATCCGCCAGATGATCGTTTCGCAAATCTGTACACAACAGTTTCAAACTGTCGTTTTTCAAAGGGTCTGGAGGCACTACTGTTGTGTCATATATCTTTTTCGTCTCTTCGGACAAATACCGAGAATATAAGTGCAGAAACCTAACTTTTGAACTTTTACATTCTTTCGTGAAATAAGCTGCCCTATCATACTCTTTCGAGTCGAAATAAGATTTAGCCAGAATGTATGTATCTTCTTCATCGCTTACATCCGATACGTACATATCAGGTGTAATATCATGCATGTTTAGCTTAACATCTTTTAAAGAATAACTCAATTCTGCTAACCTGCAAAAAACGCACACGTTTTAATATTTCAATCATCCACTATTGCCTCATCGAGTTTAACCTTATTTATATCCCAAAAATTTTACATACCACTTTGTGGTATGCAACAACCCACGTTGAGAACATTCGTTTATCGCGCGCAAAAGATCGGACTTAACCTCCTTTATATCGAACTTTATACCTTCTTCCATATCGTACAAATAAATTTCATCGATCTTTTGTTTAATCGTTGAAATAGCTACATTTCAACTATAATGCGCATCTCGAGAAAGGAACCGATCCTTTTACGTATTAAATACACAGAGAATACAGGGACGACATACAGGCACACATTTTCGCCGCCATCTACAGCGTCTAATCAAACACTTTAGTCTCATAATTCGATTCTCGTGAGTTTTTGCTTCGGTATGCTGGTATTCACATTTTAGTCCAAAGAAAATGTCTTTCGTATTACGATCCAAATATAAGTATCTAAAGTCATGCGCAAGAAACGAGCAACAATGGGCTATTGTTTAATTTCATGGGTAACGTAACGAATTGTTTTCTCTGTACATGTTGCACGTGCAATTATTTTCGTTCCGATTAACGAAATCTGTCACGTATTGCTAAGTGCGATTAGATCGTACGTACGCATGAGGGTGTACAGTTAGCGTAGGTCACGTATTCTGATCGATAAAACAGAATTTACGCGGGAACGTTGTAACCTTGACAACTGTTACTCGCGAACCAAAATGGCGCCAAAATAAGGCGGAACTTTAAACGTTAATAACTTTTTAACGAAGCGTCTATTAATAAATTGGTATTCTTGATTTTCGTTTTATTTTAGCCTTTAGAATCCTGCATTAAAATTTTTCCCAGGGGTGAACATTTTTTTTTTTTAGAAAATTAAACTTTTAATAAATTTTTAAACGTCGTTTGTGGTTTCCAGGGTGCTAATTCTCACGGTCAACTGGGACAAGGCGTTCGTTCGGAAGAATGCTTGCTGGCTCGCGAAATCGATCTATCCGGATGCTCGTTGGAATCGCGTAAAATAAATAAGATAGTCGGTGGGGCCGGGCATACGTTAATTTTGGACGATGACGGTCGCGTTTACTCATGCGGCTGGAATAATAAAGGCCAAGCGGGTTTTCCAGTAAACGAAAACACGCTTTCGTTTCGGGAAATAGGGGGCAAATTGAAAGGGAAATTTATTACAGACGTAGCATGTGGCTGGGATTGTTCAGCAGCGTTGACAATAGAAGGCACTTTATTGCTATGGGGCGCGAATTATTTTGGACAATTGGGGAAACGACCCTGCGTCGTTCAATGGGCACACGAACCCTTCGAGGTCGTAATAGATCGGAAAATCGAACAGGTATCCGTCGGCTTAAGGCACATGGCTCTGGTGACAGAGGATCGTAAAGTTCTAGTGGCAGGTTCAGGTAACAAAGGGCAATTAGGTTTGAGTACCTCGGGGAACGCTGCGTACGCTTTCACGGAAGGTAAACGACGTAATTTGTTAATGAAAATACATTTGACGATAAGGGTTTCCTGGTATTTTGTATAGTTCCAATGCTGACAAATGTACGAGATGTTGCTTGTGGGCAACACCATACGATCGCGATGACGGAGGACGGGAATCTTTATGGTTTCGGCGATAACAAACATGGCCAATTGGGGTTAGATACTAACACCATATCGAGAACGTTCATTCCGATCAGGCTACCTGATGTTCGATTTAATCCATCGGTTAAAATGGACAGCGGCTGGTCGCATATGGTTGCATTGAACGGTAATTAAATTCATTAATAAATTACATGGGTCTCTTGGAAAGTAAAGTTAACCTGGTTTCAGACGGTCAGATTTTTTCATGGGGTCGAAATACATACGGTCAATTGGGTGTCGGAGAGATCGAGGGTCCGTCATCTTGGAAAATCATGCGTGTTAAGGATCTTGGGAGGGTTCGACAGGTTGCAGCTGGCTCGGAACACAACGTCGCCTTAAATGGTATTGGAAATTACAAATAAAATATGAATTTGTAAAAAAATAGAGGAAATTACGTTTTATAATATTACAGAGGATGGAAGAATTTTCTGCTGGGGTTGGAACGAGCATGGGAACTGCGGGAATGGTCACACGAAGGACACCAAAGTTCCAGAAGAGCTTCCATTGTCTTCCAACTTTACGGCGATTCGCGTTGGAAGTGGTGCAGGTCACTCGTTCGCTGTAATAAAAAAATCTTGACTAATTTGTAAATGTATATTACCTCCTACGTGTACATAAATAAAACACACTTTGCTGGTCGAACGTCTGTAATTATTTGTAATGGAAAATAATTTTTAAAGCGACCTATCCTTGAAATAACGAGTTTTGTCGATATACGCTTGAAAGCGTACAAAGGCAGTTAAGGGAAACAGAGTATAGACGAAAATCGACCTCACCTGTGGTCACAATGCACCACCTGCCAACAGTAAACTGTCAGCGGGGACTTCGAGCGAACGTGATGTTGAAAGCGTGCTAGTTTCACACGAATAATCGATCGTTTCAAATTTGAAAAAAAAAAAAAAAAAAACTGTACGTCGCGAGATGTTACGCTCGAGGTCCCAAAGCAGCGTCTGGTAAGCGTAAATTTCTTTTTACAAATTTGAATCAATAGTCAACGTGTTATATTCGTTACATTCAGGGAACACGAAGCTAAATTTGTACAAGACCGAATATCCAACGTGGAGAAACATTTCGCCGAGCTGTGCACGACGTTTGCAGCGTACACGAGAAAAGCGGCAAGGTTTGTGCACAACGGCCTGTACATCGATTATTTCTTTTGTTTCTCCATGGTGTGTCGCAACGTCGTTTAACACGAACAGCTTGATCGTTTTATTATTTGCAGACTACGCGACAAAGGTGACGAAATCGCAAAAGCGGTACAAGCTTACGCGCAATCGGAAACCGTAAATCGATCGCTCACTAATGGGTTGACGAATTTCTCGGCGACCTTGTCGGTAATAGGCGACTACAGGTACACGAATCTGCTTTTTAAATCTAGAAAATAAAAAAAAAATAAAACAAGTTACGAGCTATAATTTGCAATTAATATTTGTTGTTATCAGAGATGCTGAAGTACAGAGATTCGACGCGAAAATAATCGCTCCCCTTTCTCAGTACTCGACGATTTGCAAGCATGCCCGCGACGATGTTAAAAACACGTTCACAGCTCGGGACAAGGAGTTGACGAGGAAAAGGCACCTGGACAGGCTCAGGGAACGAAATCCTAGAAACAAACAAATGATTGTATCCTTCATTATAAATGTAATTAAACAGATATGTATATTTTCGTCGGATTTGTTACGTCCTTAAGATTGAATAGTCGCAAGCGGAATCGGAACTCATGAAAGCTTCCGTCGAAGTTTCGCGAGTTGTAAAAGGCTTGGAAGAACAAATCGACTCGTTCGAGAAGCGAAAGTTGCACGATTTGAAAACTGTCCTTTTAGACTTCGTCGTTATCCAGTTAAGCTTCCATTCAAAAACTCTCGAATTGTTAACGAAAGCCTACCAAGATATTGCAGAGATCGACGAAGCTAAAGATCTAGAGGTGAGACGCGTAATATTTGTAAATTATTCTAGTCAAATATTATATTCGCAAATTATGTCAAATCTATTCTACAATCGCATAGATTTAAAATTAGGATTGTTTTAACATTCTTCTCGCAGGACTTCCAAGTGACAAGAGGAAACATGAACGGGGTAAATTCTTGCCTGACTAGTTATATGTATTTTATTGAAATTAATTTATAAAAAGTCCTCCGAATACTTGTGTTCCCATTTTTTGAGATGAAATTTATAATTGTACTTAGGAATTTCGCGAAACGATGAGGGTACCAGATTCTATTGCCAGATTGACCACCGTTGGCCGAACTTCGTTCAGACAGGCTTACTCTCTCACAAACTTAGCCAGTCGTTTTGCATCTTCCCCTATGTCTCCGCAGAAATTGGGCAGTCGTACTGCTGATTCTATAGTAAGTTAAATAATACTCAATATTGACGTCTGATAGTTAAATGAACGCATTTGCAGGATTCTACAAAGTCCAGCTTGAAAACAAACTCTTCGGAATCTGTACAGATCGAAGAGTACGGAGACAGCTCCGAAGAAACAGAATCTGAGTCTAACAAAGAAAAGCCTGTGAGAACCAGGCACAAATCTATGTAATTTCAAACAATGGTTAATTTAAATATTTTATATAATTCTAGATGAAAGCGATCTCTGGACACAAAACTTCAACGAGATTTGTATTTAAAGCAGTACCACCGATCCCTGCCTATCAGAAGTCGCTAACAATGCCTTTAACCGTTAAGTATGTTTAATTTAATGTTCGACAGTGCATTGTACCATATAAAACTTATATAAAAAAAAACAAAATAAAAAGTGAATTATGTTTATAAAGTTATTGTAAAAATTGTTAGTTTATTTTTTTGTATTCAAAAGATGCATTTTAGTATCCTACAAATGTTCTTGTTTCATGATATCTGTAGATGTCGATAAAGATGTCCTTATTCAAATATCAATGTTTTGTAAAGAATACAATTATTTTTCTCCCCCTTCCACTCCAGCTTGGGTCATTAAGTCCGCAATGTTCTTTTCGAGATCGTCTATTCTGTTTCCCATTTCATCTATTGTTTCTTATTAAGGACACATTATATTTCCTTTATTGAAATAATACAATTAATACCTGATTTTCCTAAACAAACTCAATCAAACGCAAAATAATTAACATTTTATCGTACAAGGTACTCGTATACGAAATAAAATGTAAATTTTATTTACATTTTTGAGGTTAGTCGAGGAAACGCAATCGATTTAAGAGAAAAGGATATTTCGTCCGAGAATTTGATCTGACATTGTTTGAAACTTGTCCTGCATGTTCTGTAATAGCGTTTGTACCTAAACAGAAAAAGAAAAGGCGGAATGATCGATTAGAAATATTGGGACAACGAAAAAAAAGAAAAATGTCATAACAATGAACTGCGTTTATCTGACTCACATATTGCGTCAATTCTTGCATGTTCTTTGGATCGGCGCTGTTACCCATTCCATAATTGTCGGTGTCCTCGCCTTTGTGTTCCTGTTTAATATCTGCCATTTCTGAAAGTTTACGTTTACGCACTCCCGTTCGAGGATAAAATGAATTCCGTCCTGCCGAATACTTCGGTCAAGCGCATGCGAAGATTACCAATCGACCGATGCTTTTGTTACAAAGACGACAGAGCATAAACGCATCGATTTAACAAACGTAAATTATACTTGGCAAGTATCTCTCGATCAAACTTTTCTAACGCGATTAGGGCACGATTATCACTCGACATTTCTTCTTCCATGTTTCCACACAACTACCCATAATTCTTGACGATCGAGGGGAATACGTCGCGCCAAATATATTCTTTTTCGAATCCTTCAAGTGTTATTCAAACTTCATAACAATTAATCCAATGAACTTTTTAAATATCGAAAACATTAAAAAATATGCAAAATATTCTTTAGATGATAGTTTATTCGAGTAGGAATTTGTGTCTCACGATCTAACGACCTTGAACTTGCGAAATATCAGAGGTCGAAGAAATTCTAATCCTTTCAATCTCTCTCTTCCTATATTATTCAGAATCAAAATTCCTTCGATCTCTTAATTCTATTAAAGAAAATGAGGAGAAATGGAGAACCATGCAGCAGGTTCTAAAGATAAATCATGGATATAAAATTACTATTATTAATAATCGATTGTTATATACAAGATCGTTACAAATATATTATTCAAGGCCATTTTTGCTTACAAATATTATGAATGTAAGAGTATCATGCAATGTCTGGAAATCATTTAAAAATTAAATTACAATAGTATTTTCATCGTAGTTTAAATGATGTCTACACCTTCCGGTGTAGGAACATCCAAGAGATTTATTGTTCCAGGAACTCGAAACTTCTGTCGAGCCGCTGGAATCGGATATTTCTGATCACTTTTCACGTCTTTGGGCGTTGGAAATTTGCAGCACACAATGTACCAGAAACTCTGCACAATATTCTTTACCAATCCTGCAAAGTTTAATAGGTTTAGATTATCTCTGATAAATCGTGTAGTTTAAACAAAGGAATACTTGCCACTTGTAACAAAAATACCTCCGACCGTGGCACACAATTTCACTAAAAATTGACACACTGTATCACGTTGTTGAGTGACCTTTATTTTCAATGCACTCATGTCATATTTGAAGAAGATCCCTGGAATCCCATGAGATCCCTTTTGATGATCGATAGGTCTATAATGATCCTTCACGCTATACTGGTACGTTTTAGAAGTACTAAACAAAGTTTGTATATCGGTGGGAACTACTTCTACAAAGTACTGATATAGGATCATATCTAAAATACAATTCTCTGTAAATATACACGTCACGATGTTCCTAATTGTATTTTATCTGTCGTCTCAACTCACTGTCGTCAGCAATTTTTTCGTCTCCCTCTAAAGGATGGACAATACCCGGACTAGGCCCTCCGAACGAAAACTTATTTATTCTATGAGTGAAGTTATAATCATTACCGGTCATAAAAGCTGAAATGTGTATGTGTTCTCTGAGAATAGGCAACGATCTTCCAGCCGTTATGTGAAAATTTCCAGCGACTTTGTTAACATTTAAACTACCGTAAACACGACACGCGTTTGGGGCGTAACTAGGCTGATGAGTTCTAATAATATACAAACGTATAAGTAAATTTCTGTAATTGTAACAGTATATTCTTATATACCGGGAAACATTGTTTTTTATACCTCTTTGGCATTTCGCTATACAAGGTAACTTGATTAGATTTCCACAGCAGTTCGTGAATGGCATGATATTCTTCTCTTAAGTAAGAATTCATATGTTTTAAAGCTTTGAAATGGGATCTTTGTTCCTGCGTTAATTCCCACCACGTATCTTCCTCTTCTAACGTTTGATGGCCTTTCATATTTTGATTCGTAGAATCTAACACATCTGCACCTATGCGACCACATGGCATTGCGACAGTTATATCAATATTTATTTTTAGCTTCGCATCGATGTCTGTGTCCGGTTCAAATTTAAATTCTAATCTACTGTCGAGGTAATAACCTGTTTCAGCTATTATTAAATATACAATGGTGCAGATCGTGAATATGGAAACTGCAAGTAAAAACATACAATTTTATATTCGGCCGTGGACGAGATATCGAATTACATTGTACGAAACTTACAAGTCCCTCCAACTGCAGTTTTGTCAACATACGGTTCAGGAACTTTGGGAAACGCATCCAGCTCTTTGACAGCTTTGATATTAACTTTCCGTCTTCTCAACATCGTTATAATTTATAAAGAATAAGATTCAACCGGAGAACAACATTCATCCGTCATCTGTTAACCTATATCATACGTAAAAACAAACCCAAACGCACGCGTGTTAATTATAAAATCAACCGTTGATATTCACGCCTTTATTTTCTATTAACCAATAACGGTATGTACATATTTACAAATGTATCGTTATTTCAATTGCGAAAAAAGAAGCGTCTTTACGAAGTGTTTTAAATGTAAATATTCAACGCGCCACGTATTCACATGTCGATAAGCGGTAGTTCGGTAAGGTATAAATTTTGAACATTTTTCCTTGAAACGATTACGAATTCTTCAGAAACGGCCGAAAGTTGACTTTTAAAAACATTGAAAGCGTCATCGTATATCTATAAAAGGAATACGAAAGTTATATCAATTGAAATTATCATTCCTGGGAAAAATTTTAATGGGAGATTCTAGGAACCAAAATAAGACGAAAATAAAGAATACCAATTTGTTGATAGAGGCTTTGTTAAAAAGTTATTAACGTTTAAAGTTTCACTTGCGAGACGGCACCTGCGAATAGCTGCGCGCGCGAAACTTTGAACGTTAATAACTTTTTAACGAAGCCTTAATTAACAAATTGGTATTCTTGATTTTCGTCTTATTTTGCCTTCTAGAATCTCCCTTTAAAATTTTTCCCAATGTAACATAAAATGATACACAAATATTTAGAATGTAAGTCAGTACACTTAACAAGCTTTTAATTGTAGCCCTAATTTTACCATTTTCAATTTCAATCGCTTTTCACACCTTTTGTTTGATATGCCTTTAGTTCGTGGAAGAATTACCTGTAAATATGTGTGTTTATCAAAGTTTCAATGTACTAGTTAATTCCGTGTTCTAACTGCGCGTTATCGCGTCAATGATTTAAAAGCATTCTTATCTCAAGTGAATATTATATTTAAGATTCAGATCGGAAATTAGTGATTTTGCTGTTACGGACGACTACATATTGTTATACTTTTTTCCGTTAAAAGTTTAAATATAAATAAAAATATATCCGTGATTAACTCATTAATAATTACGTGCAAATATCAGTTATCGATTAAACATATAAATATCGTATTTGTGTTCTACTTTGCATCCTTTGATTAAAATTTGTTACAAACTCGTGGTTTGATAGTGTGCATATGTATATAAAATTGGTAGTTCCAATAATATTCTGTCTTGTGTTGCAAGCTTCGGTTGTTTAAAATTTGTGTTAGAAGTTTGCTGAATATGTGGTTCTACTCTAGAAATAAATTCTTATATAACAGAGAGTAGCAAGATTAGTCATTGACACATTTTAATCTCTGTTAAAGCTACGCACGAGCGTACACGAAGAGTTTTAACATGTACAAGTACTAAAGACAGTTGCATTACTAAATATTAAAAGTAGAAAATAGAACGCATGTAACAAACACATTAAATTATCTTAATGTCTGTGCACAACATATTGCGCAATTAAGAATACAAGATGCCAGGAACATTGACCTACCCAATATATGCTGGTGTAGAATCACCTCCGCAAAGGCAACGGTCCTATAGTTGGAGTAACGAGCATCGTTCTAGATCTCGAGTATTGCCAGATAATAGAAGACCTGGACGATTGTCGTTGGCAGAACCTGCGGTATGTAAAAAATTATATAAACATGTTAAAATTGTACTTAACAGTTTAAATAGTTTGTCCTTACAATTATACCGTTGTATCTACATGTAGAATTGAATGAAAAAATAACCGAAGATTATCATACGCATTGTTACAATCTCCTTATCGCTGTCAACGTGAAATCCTTTCAATATTAAGACAATGCGACGAGATACCGAGAAACAGTCGAGAAAAATGCATTCCAAACCATGCGTCACTTTCACGCGTTTTGATCGTTAAAACGTACCGGAAACGTCGAGAAAAGTTTCTGTTCATGCCGATAATATAATTTTCATAACATTCCGCAACTCGCTACAAACGATAATAAAAAAATGTCTAGGAAAACTCGCAGATACGTTCGCAGGCGCATTAGAAGCTGTCGTTTTTAGCGGTACACGGGATCGTTTTGGGGGCATCCCCATTCTAAAAATATTCATTTTTCGTCGTCGATAGAATCCTCGCGACCGGAACGAACGTGCATTTTAACGTGCACGCTAGTATCGCGAATAACAGAATGAATTTAGCGGTTTGAAAATGGTATCGAACGGGAAGGGTAAATTTCAACGATATTTGAATATTTAAAAGGAAGCTGGCCATCTTTAAACGCGAGTATGTCATATCCGTTTCGTTCGTGCAATAGCAACGGAGAGGGGTTAAGCCAAAATAGGTTTCTTGATGGCACATAAGAAACTGTGAACCTCGTTAAATTGTAAGAAGCAGAAGTCGACGATTCGAAACAAATAAATTATACATAACGTTAATGGCAGAGGAACATGTTTACGGATATAATCCGCCGCCCGGAGTTGACGGAGAATCTGTACGTAACTATTTTGACAGTTTGACAAGTACAGGTTGGATTTTTGATTGATAGGCTCCAGAAAGGGTGTTACTTCCAGAAAGTTGTTGATTTGACGATTAACGATACCGTTGCATCAAACGAAAGACTATACCGCGTACACGGGAATCAAAACAGAAATTGCCCCTCGTAGTGTTTATTTATCCCGAAACGCGGATCACACTTGCCAATATCAATTCTTTTATATTTATATTGTACATACACAAGCAAACTAAGACGGATTACCTGTTTTCAACATTTTACGTGTACATTCGCGTGCTCTTTGTATATTTTGTATTTCGTACGTGTACACGCTATTATTAAACCAATTATACCATAATAAAATAATTTAAAGCCAGTTTATTGTATCGGATGCACAGAAATTAATAAAAAATTATTTCCCAATCACTTGGACAAAAGTACAGCGATTGTTTGATTAATTGCTCGTAAATAGAGCTCTAATTCTTTTTAAATGTATTGAAAACTTATATTTATAACGATAAAGCCAAATTATTGTACAGTTGTACTTGGTTTCTTGTAAAAGATTGCAATAATTTAGTTTTTGATTCTTTTGCAATCTCTTTAGAGAGATGAGGCTACTAGCAAGCTGAGATTAAAGGTAATTGCTGGGCACCAATTAGCCAAGAAAGACATCTTCGGTGCCAGCGATCCTTACGTACGCGTCGACTTGAATACTGTAAACGGTGATCAGACAGTGGATTCTGCGCTTACAAAAACCAAAAAAAAGACTTTGAATCCAGTATGGGAGGAGGAATTTGTATTTAGAGTACGTTATTAACATTTTTCGATGATAATAACGACGAATATAAAATGTTAAAAAGCTTGTATCCATCAGGTTAAGCCTGTCGATCACAAATTGGTGCTACAAGTTTTTGACGAGAACAGATTGACAAGAGATGATTTTCTCGGAATGGTGGAATTAACATTAATTCATCTACCTAAAGAGCAAGAGGGTCAAACGATCCCTGCTAGACGTTATTTACTTCGACCACGTAGGTAAGTATTTTCTTCGATGTGCGCTTCAAGCTGTGTATTTTGATATATTTTGCAAGTTTTATACTTTAAGCTTTATCTTCAAATATCATTTATCCATAAATAATAGTTGTAAGAGAATAATAACATATTTTACTTTATGCGTTTCGTGTAAGTTTATATTTAAAATTGATTTACATTTTGATCGTTTCATGCACACTATTACGCACAATTTTTAAACAATACTTCGTTCATATTTATTGGTTGCATTTCACAAATCTTTATATTTGGTTCATTAAAACGTTTCTTTCGTACCTTTCATTTGCAAATGCAAAATGAATAACTTACGAGGATATGGCTAGTAATCATTCCAGTCAGCGTTCGAGAGTGAAAGGTACTTTGGAAGTATACCACGCATATATTTCGGATTCATCGACCATAGACAGTGACAATGGGGATGCTGCGTCTGACTCAGGAGGGTGGGAAATGGTTCAACCAGTAAATGTCAACCGTCCTATGCAGACAGTTACGTGTACACTGTGCTTTAAATTCAAAATTTTAGAGGTCGTTACTATGTATTTATGTATAAAATAATGTTTTATGTGAAATTGTTTGTAGGTTGTGTTTGACTCACCGTTGCCACCGTTACCACCAGGATGGGAAGAAAGGCAGGATGCAAACGGGCGAACGTATTATGTTAATCATATAGCACGATTTACTCAATGGGAACGACCAGTAGAATCGTATGTAATAGATATAATAACAAGTCCTAGATATACGAGTTTCGCGCGTTTTATATTTGATTTTAATCCAGCCACTCACCAAGGCATAAATACTAATTGTTTTAAACCATTAAAATTTTTTTACAGTAATACTTCGCCCAGTGCAAATGTTGCAGTTGAGCGAAATTTCAGCACTGCTGCGACAGAGTTTCAACGACGTTTTCATATTAGCGCGGATAACGAAAACAGACATAGAAGTTCGATCAACCAGGTAATATTAACGATTTTTTATATATAATTACGATTCGCATCATGAAGTCCCAAAGTAAAATCTGCAAACAAATTTTATATAGTGAAAATTCCACGACATCCACTTTTACAGTAAAATGACTATTAAAGTTTAAAGTATAGAAATGTAGTGTTTGTTATTTAATTTATTTGCATTAATTTTTAAATAGCTGGCATACATTTTGTTAGCAGAACAAATTGTTTGACATTCAGTGTAATAATTAATTATGTTTATATAAACGTCCTAAATGTTATTTTATGTAGTATATGTTGCTAATTTATCATTCTCCAATATTCTGTCAAACGCGTAGATTACAATGTTGCGTAGCTAGCACTCTTTGCTTTCAAATCTCCATATCATGAAAATATATTACCTTTTATATTTTATTATAATGTTCATAGTCTGCGTAAAGTATATGTGTGTAAATAGTCACACACACACACGCACAAAATACAGGCATTACTTCATTCTTTTCAAGTACGCGATTATATAAAAAAAATACGGGAAAAATCTTCATAAATAACGTAAACGTAGAACGAGCACTAGTATTATGTAAATATTCTCATTATTGCTTCCTATGCTATGTGTTTAACATCACAGAATAATGCATAACTGCATTGGTCATGTAAATTAACAAAAATCGAAAATTGCCTCAAATTTACTTATACGTCAGCTTAATAATCATGGACGCGTTATATTTTCCTTAATTATAGGCTTATGCTTTGATACGTGTTTATGGTAACATGCTGTAACATCGTAACAAATAACTATAATAATAACAAACTAATCAATTCAGTTAGATGTGCATGATTTACCTAACAATAAATATGATGAATACGAATGACCCAGACATGACATAATAAATCTCTTACTAAAAGAATAATTGGCATGCAGTATGTAGCAATTTTGTGCATGTGTGTGTAAGGATGGTGAAGTTCTCCGCAAGGAAGATGAAGATTCGGAAGCAAGAGATTATGACATTGAGAATCATAGGGGAGGGGGTATTGGGGATACTTCTTCAGACTCTGGACGTTCTGTCGATCAACATGGCTACCTTAGTGAATGCGAAGACCAGGTACTCGTACATGTAGACACGATTATTTTCAGTTTTGTAAAATGCTTCTTTTTATAGTTTCTTGTACAAATCGTGCAAAATACAGGGTGTTCGGCCGACCCTGGGAAAAATTTTAATGGGGGATTCTGGAGGCCAAAACAAGACGAAAATCAAGAATACCAATTTGTTAATTAAGGCTTCTTTAAAAAGTTATTAGCGTTTAAAGTTCTGCGCGCGCAGCTGTTCGCAGGTGCCGTCTCGCAAGTGGAACTTTAAACGTTAATAACTTTTTAAAGAAGCCTTAATTAACAAATTGGTATTCTTGATTTTCGTTTTATTTTAGCCCCTAGAATCCCCCATTAAAATTTTTCCCACGGTTAGTCACCCTGTATACAATTTATAAAGAAACCGCATTTACCATACAAAACATTGCTTTTTATAACAATATTTTTTCCATTAATACATTCGAGATAGTATTAACTACGAAACTTCGTCATACGTTTGCGTGCGATAAAATAAATTATCAAGAAGGATCTCTAATGGTTTTATGTGTTCCGGTAACTTGTATTCGTTTAATTTTTCGATTAAAAATTATATACTTTCTACTATACGTTTCTGTGCTGTATATTTACCTTGTCTTACTTAAACGGAAACGTAATTTTTGTGCATGATTCAGAATTATGTTTCTTAAATTACTTCTAATAATTAGCACGCTGCATGATGCTGTCGACAAGTGTTAAAAAACATTTACGATATAATTTACCTTATTTGCAGAGTTGCCTGATAATATTAGATCAGCATATTTGTGGTGTAAATTAGTATTTATTTTGATCGGAATTATGTAGTTTTACGGTACTATATTCTCATGTTATGCTTACAGACTGATGATAATGTGGATAGTCCAGCTGGGTCTAGACGATCCTCTGAACAGGCAAGTACTGCATCCAATGCAATTGGCATTCACATGAACTGCAACAAAATATTTTGTTTCAACATCGAGCGTTGTGATTTTTAGATCGAAATGCATAAACCCACGCTTCCAGTGTCAAGCAACGATGGAATGCCACCTGGGTGGGGTATGCAATTAGCTCCGAACGGTAGAGTATTTTTTATCGATCATATTAATAGGACAACGACATGGATCGATCCTCGAACAGGGTGTCCAAGTTCGATACCTAATCACATTGCTCCTTCAACTACACCAAGGAGTGATTTAGACCAGCTTGGACCACTTCCCGAAGGTTGGGAGGAAAGGGTTCATACGGATGGCAGAATATTTTTCATCGATCACAGTATGTTCACATTTATTAAAAATTATCACAAAGAATTTCAGGTTTGATTTATACTTCTTTGTGCGATAGATTCAAGAACAACTCAGTGGGAAGATCCACGCATGTCCAATCCACAAATTGCTGGCCCGGTAAGTACATTAGTTTGCAATTGTATAAATTAAACTTCGATTCAAATAAATTGTAACACGTACTAAATTATTTTGTCACATTATAGGCTGTTCCATATTCGAGAGATTATAAACGAAAATATGAATATCTCAAGTCTCAGTTGAGAAAGCCTGTAAGTATTCGACGGCTGAAATTTGACTACCATTTTTGCACGTAGCAATTATTGTGTTATTTTTTTAGAATAACGTTCCTAATAAATTTGAAATAAAAGTTGGCCGAAATAACATCCTGGAAGATTCGTATCGTATAATTAGTTCTGTTAATAGAGTGGAAATATTGAAAACAAAATTGTGGGTTGAATTTGAAGGAGAAATCGGTTTGGATTACGGAGGCCTTGCTCGAGAATGGTTTTTCCTATTATCTAAAGAAATGTTCAATCCCTATTATGGATTGTTCGAATATTCCGCCACGTAAGTCTATCATACGCTAAATTATTATGTACACTGATATATAAATAATAATCACAATTAAAATACTTTTAGGGATAATTATACACTACAAATTAATCCTTTCTCGGGAGTATGCAACGAGGAACATCTAAATTACTTTAAATTTATTGGTCGTATAGCTGGTATGGCTGTCTACCACGGCAAACTGTTAGATGGTAAAAATTATTTCAATTACATCAGAAGCATACAATATTTTATATAGCATAGATATAAAGAAGATTATTTTATTTTCAGCATTTTTCATTCGGCCATTTTATAAAATGATGTTAGGTAAATCTATCGACTTGAAAGACATGGAAAGCGTTGACTCAGAATATTACAATTCGTTATTGTGGATAAAAGAAAACGATCCTAGCGAATTAGAGCTCACATTTTGCGTCGACGAAGAAAGTTTTGGACACACCTCCCAAAGAGAACTTAAGCCGGATGGCGCTAACATACCATTAACAGACGTAAACAAAGACGAATACATAGGTTTAGTTATACAATGGCGATTCGTATCGAGAGTCCAAGAACAAATGAACGCATTTTTGGAAGGATTTAACGCTCTTGTACCGCCGACATTGGTAAAAATATTTGACGAGCATGAACTGGAATTGCTTATGTGCGGTATACAACATATTGACGTGAAAGACTGGAAACAGAACACGTTGTACAAAGGGGACTATCACGCTAATCACATTGTCGTTCAGTGGTTTTGGCGAGTGGTACTTTCGTTTAGCAATGAAATGCGCTCTAGGCTTTTACAATTTGTCACCGGAACATCGCGAGTACCGATGAACGGTTTTAAGGAACTTTACGGTAGCAACGGGCCGCAGTTATTCACGATCGAAAAATGGGGTACACCGGACAATTATCCGAGAGCTCATACTTGGTAAGTACACGATCTCAAAAATTCACATCTTAATCTCTCCGATCTACCGACGTACCGAACTCGAGAATTTTCAGACATAACCACATTTTGCGCGGGAGTTTCTTCAAGCTTACTTTTTAAAATTTCTGATGTTATCTCAGAATCAGTTTAGTTTATTTAAAATTGTGATAAAAGTTTTATGTACAAATCACATACGTACGTTTCGAATTAATTTTTTCGTTCCAACGATCAACTTCTTAACCTCCTTAGTAGCCATGGCAACAAGAAGTAAAGTCGTGATCTTGAAGAAAATTTTGCGCGGGAGTTTCTTGTCTTTCTAAAGTTTCTGGATGTCATGGATTCCAGAATCAGTTCAGAATAGCTTTGTTTATTTAAAATTGTGATAAAATTTTTCCACACTGTATACGAATCAAATACGGTTCGAATTCATTTTTTCGTTGTAACGGTCAACTTGTTAGCTGAGTCACCATGGCAACAAGAAGTAAAGTCATGACCTTGAAGAAACTTTCTAAAGTGAATTCGGATAGTGATAGTATTTCCAGTGACATTGAAACTCAAAAGGTACAATTACGATTTATAAAATAAGTCGTTTTGCCGGAAGTAGTGAAAATGTCGGCTGGTCGGAGGGGTTAGGTGCTTCTTTTGCACGTTATCGAATCTCAACGCAGAATTTTCCGTTGAACCATAAAAAAAGGTACGTGATTTAATAGGTAATATTCCCATTTCAGTTTTAATCGCATTGACCTTCCTCCTTACGAAAATTATCAGCAACTCAGGGAAAAATTGATAAAAGCAATCGAAGGTTCACAAGGCTTTGCTGGAGTGGATTAGCACGAAATACCCCTTTTCATGATGATATCTGTAATATAATGTACATATATACATACACATAGATACAAAAAAAAAAAAACATGTATACTGTCTAATACGATTAACTGTTTAACAGGATTAACATTTTTCTGCACTCTGAAGACTTAGGTGTCTCTTGACTGCTAGTTACATCATTGAGACAAATCAATGAAAAGTATGTTTAAATATTACTTAACTGTTACCAATAATTCAAAAGTATCTTACGCATAATGCACTTTTAAAATTATAAGCTATATTTAACAAAACATTTACAAGTAATCTCAAATGCTGTTTCGGAGCAGTTGATGAATTACAATTTATTAACTTGTTCACTTTCTACATGTAATTCCATGTTTTGATTATTACGCTTCGAAGAGGTATTTCTTTTTTTTTTCCGGGGGAAAAAAAAATTTTGGTTGTTACGATAGACAAATATTAATCTGATATTAACTGTAAATAATTTTAAGATAAAGTAACGATCTATTAATTAATATCCTAATTTGTTGATGGCGCGGAGAATGCCTTGTTATCAAAGGAATTTACGAACAATATAAGATCGCGGACTTAAGTGATAAAATTTTAAACGAAAGTATAAAGTGTTTAAAAGAAGGATATAAGTTGCTTTATATGATATTTGTTATGATTTATCGAAACATTGAATTTTAATTTGAACTATTTTATAAAACGAGCAATCAGAAAAAGTAGTAATATGATTAAGGAATTCTAAAAACGAGACTTAGAAAACTATTTCATATACAATGATGCTACGTTGTTTGAAAAAAATCATTGTTAATTTAAAAATTTATCTGTACATTTTTAAATTTGAAAGGAAGATTATTGTTTTTTCTATTCTTGAAACGTAAAGTTTCTTTGTTTATTATACTTTTCACATTACACTATGAAGTTTTTACAACGAATCAGTTTAATCTTTTTCAATATTTTGTAACACTGTGTACAATATAAGATTAATATTTCTTTCCTTTTCTCGGTTGCATAAGGCAATATCTAAACACTTAGTATTCACAGGTTATTCGCATTTAGAAAATATCTTGTGGATCTTTTATTGTAGTAATAAAGACTAGAGAATACGTTGTGTCGATAAAAGAAAAAAAAAGAAAGAAAGAATGTACAGGCAGAAAGCTGGAAGATTTTAAAAAATTAATCATACTATTAGAAGATATAGCAAGAAGAATTATGGTCGCTGTAAAATATGTAATCTGTTTTATTTTTGATCGATTCGTTTATTTATTATGAAATCCATATTATTTAATATAAGAATATATTCAAACTTAATAGAAAATAAAATATATTTCAGACGTATCTGTTCCATGATCTATTCGCGTAACTGATCAAGAACTTTGGACATAGAACAGAGTTCTTCTTGTATGTTTTTCTAAGAACTTGTAGCGAAAAAAAAAAACCACATTATGCTTAGCACATTGTATACATATAGTATTAAATAAGATAAGAAAGTAGATACGAAGCTGCTTGAACGGTGAAATTCAACCATTTGTACATTTTGACAATATATAAAAGAAACGAAGATATTCAATTGTTTTGTCAAAAATGATATACAATGCATGAAGTTAATTGATCGAATATGCCGCGATTAGCGTAACCTTGTAAATGCCTACTTTGTACGATAATAGCTATTCCAAGAATGTAACAAACATTCTAGAAAGACGTTTAGCACTTAAAGCTAACGAAACATTCCATCCTGTTTGTACAGCTTATTTTATTGTAAACAGATACGTCCCGTTAGATAATAAATATTATTATTACGACAGAAATTTTGTGGCCTTAAATTCCGGTTACTTTAGATTTCGTGTATTTTGTGTTTTTCTATAACGAAGATTCGAATCATGTATTTATATATGTATAATCGCGGGCGAACGATATATCTTGACGTATTGATTCTGTGAACAGGCAATATTCGAGTACTATAGTATTTCTTTCCTGACGGTAGACTAAATCTTTAGTTGGGACTATTAGTCACATACGTTATCTAACGATCTACTTAATTGTCTTTTCTTTTCTTCTGATTTACAAGTATTCACATATTTTACTGGATGAAACATTACATCCTTCACTGGCTTATACAGAGTGTTCAATCAACCCTGGGAAAAATTTTAATGGGTGATTCTAGAGACCAAAATAAAACGAAAATCAAGAATACCAATTTCTCGATTATGGCTTCGTTAAAAAGTTATTAACGTTTAAAGTTACGTCTGTGAAACGGGAACCGCGCGCGCTGCGTGCGCGGAACTTTAAACGTTAATAACTTTTTAACGAAGCCTTAATTAACAAATTGGTATTCTTGATTTTCGTCTTGTTTTGGTCTCCAGAATCATCCATTAAAATTTTTCCCACGGTTAGTCGAACACTCTGTATTTATTCTTATTAAGACACATTGCAAGATAAAATCGTTGTAACGTCGATGAAAGGTGACTTAACTTTTTCGTAAGATTATTTAATCTCGTATATACACGACCGATTTATATACTTATGCATACGTATATGTTGGCAAAAACATGCGTGACTTAATTCTACTACAATTTACCTCCCTTTAATTTTTATGTAAATACGAAGATATATAACGCTTGTAATATATCGATTACAAGGACGAATGCATTTTTACCGCACTTGTGACAGGGGGATACGTAATGAAATGCTTGTAAGCTAAGTCCTTGCGATATGATTATTCATTACTAACGAAATGCGACAAAGCTTCGTGACATAACGGTTAAACACTAATACTACGATTAAAGAACGTAAAATTACAAATTTAAATTATGTTCTTATATAATGCTGTGGAAAATGAGACTATATACGCAAATAAATTATATCACAAAGTATAATCTGTTCTGCAAACCGATATTATTATTATATCCTTCTGCACACATTTCGAAACAGATTACAGCATTACGTTAGTCACGTTATATTATTTTTTATAATTTCCCGTAACAATTACGTACATTTTTATCAGCGAATACGATACGCATAGTATTTTCTCGATCGCTCTAGTTCCCGTTGCACGTTCGAACGTTTTCGCGCGTATTTCGAACGTTCCCGCCGAATTCCGTGCGGCGTAGTCCGCGAAACCGCCGCCAGATGGCGGCGCACGCGAGCACATCCGCAGAATCAAAAAAGACAGCTGGGAAGTGTAACATCACACATCGATTCGACGGCTCCGCGAGCCCGAAAAACTTTACGGTTTTACGCGTTTATTGGCGGCCCTACGCGTTCCCCCGACAATCAAACTGTGCCCCGTCGCGTTCGTTCCGCCGGGACGCGTGTGGTGCGGTGTAGAAAGTGACCGTTCCGCGGACAAATGTGCCGACACGAAACGTGACTGCTGGTTATGCGGTGGTTCCTGTCACGAACAGCAGCCCTCGTTCAACCCCCGTTTCACGAGTCTCGCAGCAACGAAGGAGGGAAGCTCTGCATGATACTGGCGCGGAGATCACTGCATTGCGGTGAGCACAAACGAAACGTTATCTCATCGCGTTCACGCGAAATATCTCGTCGCGCGGATCGGTTTTTATTCGCGATCCGATACACAAACCAACCAGGGTTCATTACCCTCTCCGCGACGACACTGTGCGCTCGCGATCTCGATGTTACTAATTCGCGTTTCGGAGTATTTTTTCTTCCGTCGTTTACGTCTCTGTACGAAATACGCGCGTCTCTGTTAAGGGAATCTGAACGCGTACGATTCTTGGTGGGCCAGTTTCCGGTGGGATCGTCGACACGAGGGTAACGAGCATTCGTGTCGAGGCGAGTTTTTACTCGACGCCTTGGCGCGTTGTGTGTCGCCGGGCCACGAAAATTCCGTTGGAAACGCCTCCGTTGGTCGACCAATTTTCTCGTACGTTGGGGATCGCGTGCCGCGGTTCACGGTGCAATTAAATCTCGCGTTCGGCGGCGGGCTCGACATCGAGTTTTCGGACACGTACGCGTGCATAAAATATTCGCGTGCGCACGCAGAGGCGCACGTAAACCTCCGGTAGTGTCGCCGTATCGTTCGAGGGATCGCGGTATTCTTGTTGTCGTTTAGTCTTTAAGGCGATCCAAGGGCAATCGTTCGGGACGCTCCAACGGGGGCAAACCGTCGCGATAAACGTCCAAGGAACATCCCTTGCAATCGTGAAATCGAATCTACCCCACGGTGATATCGTTGTGTTTGCGTAACGTGGTCGTAAACAATAAACGCCGGGGGAGAAAATAGACGCGTCCCGCGGAGGTGCGTCGAACTCGTGTCGCGCGTTCGTGTGCCAAGGATAATTCGTAATCGATCCTCAGGATCCGAAGGTAAATCCCGGCCATTGTACGGTAACCGGAACACACACTCGATCGTTCGAATTATTGTTGGATTTATGGTTCATTTTCTACGTACTTCTCGACGAATAAGCGTTCGAACGAGATTTTTCTTTTCTCGAACTTTTTCACGGAACTTGATACATTTGACGTGCTTCGCGCGACCTAACCTCTTTCGATTACCTTTTATGGGTTCGCTGCGAAAGTTCGAATCGTAGAAGCGTGTCGATAGATTTCCCGCGGAACCGTGGACGAGGTGCAGCACGATCGGGGAACGAGTAAATGAGTAGAAATCGTTTGCATGGAACTGGGCCAAATGCTCGATCGAGCAATAACTGCAAAAAAGAGTACGGGTATACAGGGTGCTCGGTTAACCGTGGGAAAAATTTTAATGGGCGATTCTGGAGGCCAAAACAAGACGAAAATGAAGAATACCAATTTGTTGATGGAGGCTTCGTTAAAAAGTTATTAACAATTAAATTCAACAATTTCAAATCTTTCTGGAAAAATTATTTTCAATTCCGGGGGGTCAATTACAATCATTTTTGGTGAATACACATACCCCCGAAATCCTATTCATTATCGAGAAAAAAATTGGAGTAGGTACTGAAATTTTTCGAAGAAAAAAAAAGTTTTCAAATCTTTCTAAAAAAATTATTTTCGGTTGCAGGGGTCGATTACAATCATTTTTTGTCATTACAATTACCCCCGAATTCCTACGCACTTTCGAGAAAAAAATTCCTTATTGAAAATTCAATTCGGCGCCTAAATTTTTCGACGAAAAAGAAACTTTTCGAATCGTTTTGGAAAAATTATTTTCAGCCACGAGGGTCAATTACAATCATTTTGTATCATTAGATATATCGTCGAAATCCTATCCATTTTCTATAAAAAAATTCGAGAAGGTGTGAAATTTTTCGACGGAAAAAAAAATTTCAAAATCGTTTTGGAAAAATTATTTTCGGTTTCGGGGGTCGATTACAATAATTTTTGGTGAATAGACCTATCCTCGAAATCTTGCGCATTTTCTAGAAAAAAATTCAGTTCGGGTGGAACTTTAAATGTTAATAACTTTTTAACGGAGCCTCCATCAACAAATTAGTATTCTTGATTTTCGTCTTATTTTGGCATCTAGAATCTCCGATTAAAATTTTTCCCTGGGTTGGCAGAACATCCTGGTCTTCCTTTTTTCCAAAGATTTGCAATAAATTTTAAGGACCTTTGCAGAGTCGAAATATCGTTGAACTATCTCTAAAAGATGCATCGTTCCCTCTTCCCTTTACGAATGTTTTTCGCCCCCGCGATCTCAAATACCATCCTCGTTCCCGTAAACATTAATCATACTTTGCAAACTTGTACCCGAAATTAATAATACAAATTTCATGACCGTACGAGCATCGAATTTAATTGAACATTTCGATACTACGTTTTGGTAATATCAATTTATGTAGGGCAGCCACGTTAAAGAATTTAATATCTCGACAAGTTATATAATTCATATTACATAAATAATTTTTCTAAATTTGAAACGGTCGCGTTCTGACGTTTTATCGATATTAATTTGTACGCTGAATGTTGTGAACGGTCCAATAATGTTTCCATGCACTATTCTATCGTTCACCCAGTCATCGATCAAATTGCACGCGATTATCGACACTCGCCGTAGCTAAATACACCACATATTGACGAAATATACATGCCCATGCGCCATTTTAACACCGTGGAGTAAAGAACACAAAACAATTTCAATTCAATTTAACGAAAGTTTCCAAAACACATATCGATTAATTAGCGGTCGATAACTGTTCGACCCCCCCATAGGCGATTAATCGACTAGCGGTTCGATAATCGTTCGACCTCCATGAGTCGATTAATCGACTAGCGGTCGATAATCGTTCGACCTCTATGAGTCGATTAATCGACTAGCGGTCGATAATCGTTCGACCTCCACGAGTCGATTAATCGATTAGCGGTCGATAATCGTTCGGCTCTCAAAGGCGATTAATCGACTGGCGGTCGATAATCGTTCGACCTCCATGAGTCGATTAATCGATTATCGGTCGATAATCGTTCGACCCTCATAAGTCGATTAATCAGTTATCGGTCGATAATCGATCGACCCCCAATAAATCGATCAATTGGCCAACGGTCGATACAATGTTAATTTTAATTTCATTTATCGACGTCAAAAGTTCGCGAAAGGCTTATCGGTCGAAATTTAAGGACGAATCGAATTTTACGTTGGATTCTACTCTTGTTCGTAGTTATTACCCGTACGATCGAGAGAATGGTTGGCCCGGTTCCACGTAAAACGACTTCTACTCGTCTCGAATTTCGAGCGCTCGGACAGCTGTATGGGCAGCACGTCGATTACCGACTCCTTGGAATCCTGTCAGCTATTATAACTGTTCTACCGTGTAACGCTAATGCAAGCTACGTGCTCGACTCGTACAAAAGCGTCGTCTCCTTTCGTGCATCGGGGCGCAAGCTGACACTGGCGTCGTCGTTACCCGGCGATTGTTCTCCGGAATATTTATCAACCCGCCACTACGGGAACAATCGTATCCCCGCGGCAGCTAGCATCTTTAATAATGGGAACGCGATGCAGGCCCGTATTGATTTTGGGCGTAAGGCGCGGTGTAAGCCGTTTTCAACCGGTCCCGATGGAGATTAATGGAAAGTCGCGTGTATTCGCTGTTACGAAGTTCGTCGATCGCCTCCTAGATCCAAGGATCGGCGAAAATTCGCGCGCCAATTTGTTGGATCTTCAAACTGACCACAGAGTCATGGATGATGGGTTAAAATACGATTTTTCGGGGGGAGTTTTTG